GTTTTTCCAGTGATAACTGAGATCTTTATGTCAGGTGTAGAATTTCAGAATTTTGCATGACCTGATTCCTTTCATCCTCTTACTTGGACTAAAATAAATTTTCAGGCAAAATCATTTCTGCTGAATAGATTTAAGGCTGTTTATAACTAGAAAAATGTTTTTAGAGCTTTTTTTTAAATTATTAATTTGAAAGTATTAAAAAGCAGATCTGAGGAGAGATCTTTTATTCACTGATTCACTCCCCACAGGCCAAATTGGCCAGAGCTGGACTGATTGAAGCCATGAGTTTCTCTTCCAGATCTCTTGTGGGGATTCAGGGGCCCAAGTCCTTGATCTGTCCTCTACTGCTTTCCCAGGTAGAGAGCTGCGTTAGAAGTGGAGCAGTTGGACTTGAACCGGCACCTATGTGGGATGCTGGCAGCACATCTGCCACAGCACAGAGCTTCCCCTGCTCCCACCCACCGCCACACCCCACCCTGAAAGACATTTTTTCCTCTGTAGTGTTCAGCAGGCCACTGAAAACATGAATTTGCTTTCAAGAGCTCTTCAAGATTTTCTAGGAAGCTTGGCAGAGTAAAACTTACCTGTGAAATAAGCAGTTACTATTTTTTAAGTAGCTAAAGCAAGCCACAGAACTGTGAGATATATGGACTACATAAATCATGACGTTGGTATGAGTACCTATTCTCCACTGTTGTTGATGTCAACTACGATCAAAGTGCCTTAATGTAAGGGTAGATTTGGAGTGAAAGTATGGCTAATTAGGTAAACTAGCAGCTACAAAGAATCTTCACCTACAGATGTCATCTCAAAAGTTGAACAGTTCAGCAAAGTGAAAAAATTTCAACTATTAGCCATAAGGTTTTTGTGGCTCATTATTTTTCTTATACACTCAGAACAGCTTCTAGAAAGTGCCTTTTTATAGTTGGGAGTGCCTCCTTCCCTTACCATCGTACGTGTGTTGATGAGCACCACAAAGCACTGAATCCCATGGACCTTTTTATAAGTCTGAGTACAATTATATTTTGGAGCCTGCATACTAGTGATGTATGCCCTATGCATATTGAGTGGGAAAGCATGGTATACATTTCTCAAGGTCATGCTGTACTGTTCTATCTAACTTTAAAACAGAAGTGCAAAAATAAAATTACAAAAAACTTTTAGGTTGTTAGGAACAGAGCTGTTTATTTATTGTTGAAGGGTGTTTGTTAATAGAGAGAGGAAAGGTTCTCCATCTGCTGTTTCACTTCACAAATGCCAGCAAAAGCTAGGGTTGGACTAGGCAGAAGTCAGGAGCTAAAAACTCCGTCCCGGTCCCCCACATGAATGACGGGAGCCCAGGTGCTGTTTCACACGGTGTATTAATAGGAAGCTGGGCTGGAAGAAGAGGTGGAACTTGATTCTAGATATTCTGCATTCCAGTCAGCAGCTTAACCTGGTGTGCTCCAAGCCCCTCCCCTATTTGAGAGACAGAGCTCTCCAATGAAACAATTATTGTACAGCAGGAGCTGGAAATGCAACCCAGATCTACCACATGGTGACAGAATCCCAGTTACTTGCCATTACTTCTGTCTCAGTGTCTGTATCATCTGGGTTCAAGCATTGCACTTATGGCTGATGTGGGACATAGGTGTCCATACTTGTTTTAACTGCCAGGCCATTACCTGTGCTAGTCAGCAGAGCTTTTAATGAAGTGCATTTCCAATATGTTTGAAACCAACCATGCTGGTAAATTTCTCACTGATCAAAGAACCTATTAAGTGGTAGAATCAAGTCTGAATTTTAAAAAATGCTCTGTGATGACTGAAAAACACTGGGCTGGGTTGATCAACGAGGAAAGACTGCATATGGACCTTGTTTTAATGTTGTGCATTAAAAAGTCTTGGTTAAATGCAACAAGCTTTAATTTCCTTTTTCCTACCATTGTAGTGTGTTATTTTTACTCCTTTTCCTGTATTGATGTTATAACTATTTAGATATTGGTTATTTGTGTTGCTTGTTTTGCCTGTTACATTAATTGTCAACCTCTTGTTTGATATTAGTGTGCCTATCACATAGAAAACATCCAAAAAACTATTTGTGAAATGGCTGACTGAACCCGAATCTTCTAAGTGGTACAAGTTTTTCAAGGACTGCACATTTTACTTTTCACTATCTTTCGTGCTTATGACCTACAGCTTATGTAACCAAATTATATAACTTTTCATGTAACACCTACATTGTCAAAATTCAATCAATTTATGTAGAGGAGTTGCCAAAATTAGTTTCACACAGTATCAAATTATCTCTCTCAGAGGACTCTGCCTCTTTGCCTTTTCCCGAGAGGTTTGTTTTAAGCTGATTTCCTACTAGGTTAGTTCTATTCTGCAAGTACAAACTGGGTATAAACGTGAGTATAATTGTAAAAGGCAGAGTCAAGGAGCATTATTGCTGTTAGAAAAAAAAATATATAGCTATGTCTTTCAAAAAGCATGTTGTCTCCCTGTTTTATATCTTTAAAATTCCAATTCAAAATTAAACTCTTTCTGATTAAAAAAATCTTATGGGCTTATCAAGTATGTACATACCTTATAAAAAGCTAATGATAGAAAAGATTTGTATTAGGTGGTAATGTGCTGTATTTTTGAATCCATGCCAATTTCAGAAGACAACATGGGCACTGTCAGTAATGATCCTGGGATCATGAATGTGAATTAGGACTTGGCAGGGCCTACACTGGGGCTGGTTTCCTATTTAGAGGGATGGTAGCAGTCCTTTTTTCTCCTATTCCTTTTTGCAACAGCAGTGACCTTTAATCTTTGGGTTGTGTCTTCTAAGCTTTATATACCTTCCTATTTATTGATGTACTTATGCCATTTCTTGTGTTCTTTTTTTCATTGCGGACTTTTTGTTATTCATCATTGTCCTATCTACATCATCCCACAATGTTTGTGGTAAATTTGATTTAGTAGTTATTATAACTGTTAACATTCAAAGAATCTTGCCAAATACCACCATTCCTTTCTTGAGCAGTAGCTTTTTTCTCAAGTTAAAAATAAGATTTTTGAACTAACATGTGTTCTGTGTATGTAGCATAGTTTTTCAAATTAAAATGGTTATCGTCTATGCCATATGCCTATGACATACAGCTTCCATATGATGTGCTGTTTTTGCTAAAACATGTTCTGTTACCTGAGGACCAACTCCAACCTGTATTGGTTGCTCCCTCTGCTTTCTGCATACCATTGTATGTATGTTCTCTTTGTCACTGCTTCCTAAGTTCCTTTTCTGTTTTTTTAATGCTTTATTCTCCTGTTTCTCTAGGACATTCTGTTAAGGTTCTTAAGACTTTTGATTTGTGTCTTAAGACCTTGAATGTCTAAAAATGTTCCCATTCTGCATCTCACATTTAGTTGCAAGATTAGAATTCAAAGCTAAAAATTATTTTTGGAACTCTGTAGGTATTCTTTTATGTTGCTCTTAGGTGATTTTAATTACGTTTCCTTTGTAAGAGAATCGTTTTTCCATCCTAATAGATTCTCACCTTCTAGTTGTCTGAAATTTCAAGATGGTGGATTGTGCTCAGTGGGATTTGTTTTTCTCCACTCTTCCTGTCTACTCTTGAGTCTTTTTAGGTAAATTTTTGTACTGGAGTTCTGAAAAGGTTTTTGTTTTGTTTTGTTTTGTTTTGTTTTGTTTTGTTTGCTACTTTTCTCTCTCTTCTGTGATACTTATTAGAAAGATAGAGAGTACTTTTTAATTTATAGCAGTGCTTTTTATCATTGCTCCCAAATTGAACAATCTCCTGTGCAGTCACAGTGGAATAAGAAAGAATAGAATAAGAGATCACATTCATTCCCACAAATTAGGGTGAATTTATTGTTAACTGCTTGCGGTGACATGGATGATCCTCACAGACACAAAGTTGGACATGGGTACTACTGTGAGATTCCACTTATATATAGTTGATAGTCAGACATGGCTGGGATGGCTATTTTTTCATGGATTGAGAAATGTTTAGTGAGAAAAACTTAGAAATTTTTCTGTAAAATGTCAGACACAATTTCACATTTTCTATAAACTAGTTTTTTCTTTCGTTTTTTAAAAAACATCATTAGAATGATTTTTACCATTATAATGTGTATAGTTTTACAAATTTTCCACTTAAGGTATCATTCTTCGGCAACATTCTAGGAGGCACTTCAGCTAACTTGTAAATTGCTTAATCTCTCAGTGCCAATTTTCTTATCTATTATCCCTGTAATGTAGTACCCACCTCAGATTTGTTTTGGAGATTTAGTGATCTACTATGTAAAAAAAGCTTATACCCTTCAATACATATCACCTGTTAATTTTGTGGAATTAATGAAATCCTTTCAGTGACAACTATCAATACCTTTTATAATCTGTGATTATTGAATCTTGTATTCCAGGAAATTATTTGGGAGTGATACTGAGCTGAGGATATCTTGACTGACAAGGGGATTTTTAAAAAATTACAGTATGAGCTAGTATAATGTCTTAAAGGTCTATGCTAATGGGAACCCACAGAAGAAGGATGTTCTTGTTAAAACTAATGGCCAGGAATTGGATATAGAGTTTGTAGAATGCCCAAATAAAAGCCTGTTAGAGCATATTGTGGTGCTTGATATGCAAATAGTTCAGTAGGTATGAGCAAGAACACTCATAGAAAAGAATGGGAAGAGAATCAAGAGCAATTCATATAAGACTTTATTTTATTTCTTTTGATTAAGCGAGAACCCTGGCATTGGAAAGAGCAAGCCACACAGCTTCTCATTGCACTTTGGTTTGTTTCATGCGATAGACAATAGGAAACCTATTCTATGGACTTTAGACTTTTGCCTTGCAGAAAAGAGTTGGTGTTAGACTCACAGTTACCTTGTCAGATGTGGTTAATATGCATGGCTAATTCTTGATTGAAGCTGATGATTAGGAGGGATTAAGAATTAAAGGATTGCATGTTTTCCCAAAGGCAATTAATGGAAATTTGCATTTCATAGGAAATCTTAAGAATGGAGTCTAAACCTTCAAGGATTCCAAGAAGAATTTCTGTTCAGCCCTCCAGCTCTTTAAGTGCTAGGATGATGTCTGGAAGCAGAGGAAATAGTTTTAATGAAACCTATCACTCAAGAGACTCTTCGTTTAGACTGGATTCTGAGTATCAGGTAACATTTTAATTTGGAATGTGTGTGTGTGTGTGTATTTTTTTTTTAATCCTTGGGACTTTTAAAAAACATCTTTTTTGGATTAAAAAAGATTTAGCCAGGCAGGTGTTGTGCTGCATTGGGTTAAGCCACTGCTTGGGATATCTACCTCCCATATCAGAGTGTGTGAGATCCAGTCTCACCTCTGCTTCCAGTCCAGCATTCTGCTGATGAACACAAGCAACAGCAGCAGGTACTAGTGCAAGTGTTGGGTCCTCGCCAGCCATGTGGAAGACCCAGATCGAGTTTCCAGCTCCCAAGTTTGGCCTGTCCCAGAACTGATTGGTGTGGGCGTTTGGAAAGTGAACTACTATATGAAGATCTTTCTCCTTATCCTCTGTATCTGTGTATGTGTCTTCTGCTTTTACATTTTTAATTAAATAAAATATTTCATTTTTCTTTAATTGCATGATTAAATACAGCAGAAGAGGAAGCTCATGCACGGGTGTATTATATGTTACTCTGTCCTAAGTACTTCAGTCTTCATTCAACCTTGTTTTCTGCTGATACATACACTTGTTTATTTGAAAGGCAGTGTTAGAGAAGGAGAGAGAGAGATCTTCCATCTGCTGGCTCACTGCCCAGATGGTCTCAATGGTTGGGCATAGTCCAAGTTGATGGCAGGAGCTACACCATCTTGGGCTCCTACATGAGAATAGGGGATTGAGTACTTGGGCCATCCTGTATTGCTTTCCTAAGAACATTTTTTGATTTTGCTTGAAAGCATTAGTTACACGGAGAAGGAGAGAGAGACTATCCACTGATTCACTTCTGAAATGGCTACAAGGGCCAGAGCTAGGCCAGTACGGAGCCAGGAGTTTCTTCCTGGTCTTCCATAGGGGTATAGGTGAGACAGGGCTCTACCACCTTCCCAGGCCAGTAGCAGAAAGCTGGATCGAAAGTAGATCAGCTAGGACACAAACCAGTTCCCATATGAGATGCTGGAGTCACAGACAGAGGGTTCACTTGACACTCGACCATGCCAGCCCCAAAAAACAATGTGTTTTGAGGTCAGGCTAGTTTGATATTATTTGATTTTGGTAATACAGATCTAAGAATGAATATTATATGAGCCAAAACTTTGTTTAAAAAACAGTAGGGTGATGGTAGTGGGGAATCTCATTTCTTAAATATCTAAGGATATCTATATAGTGAAAGCAATTGAATTGGTGACAACCAGGAAGAAGGCTTGATTTTTTTTTTTTTTGAATGAAAGTCAACAGCAAAACACAAGAAATTTAACTCTTTAATATGCAAATTTTAACATACATTTTTGACCCAGACTGGTGTAGGTTTTTGTTCTTTATCTGTATGCTAGGGCTTTTTGATGAAACTTATTATGTCCTCGAGCATTTTAGAGATACACCACATGTACCATGTGAAGAAAATGTTCATATAAAAATAATAGGATGACTTCAGTTTTACTGTTATTGTTCAGTTTCAGATTGTTGCTGAAACGTGCTGACTATTTAGACCAGTACTTTTAAGAAGATAAACTAATCTTAAATACATTAAATTGAGTACAGTGCTTAGCCACTTTGTTCATGATGAGTGCCGTTTGTATTATGAGATTTTTCTTTCTTTCCTTTTTTTTTTTCCTACTTTGGTCTATCCATACATCAAAAGAATATCATAGAGCTAGCACTGTAGTATAGCAGGTAAAGCCACTACCTGTGATTCTGGCATCTCATATGGATGCTGGTTCAAGTCCTGGCTGCTCTACTTCTGATACAGCTTCTTGCTGATGGCCTGGGAAAAGCAGAGAAGGTGGAACAAATCCTTGGAACCCTGCGCCCATGTGAGTGGACCCAGAAGACGCTCCTGGCTTCTACCTGGCTCAGCTCTGGCCGTTGTGGACATTTGGGAAGTGAACTAGTGGATAAAAATCATTTTGCATCTACCTTTCCCTCTGCACCTCGAATTTTCAAATAAATAATGTTCTTCCTCCTATCTTATACAAAGAATTACATAAATAGCTCTACATTAGAAAATCATGATCTAAGAATTTTAAGTATGCATTTCTATTGTTTTGGTTCACTAATAAGACAGTGCAGATGCTGAGATTTTCTTCTGCTTCTCTTCTGTCTTTTCTTTAACCTTGACTCTGGTCCTAACCTTAACCTTTTCTTATCCTGATCTATTTCATTATCATTGTTGTAGGACTAAACTGTTAGAATGAGCATCAGCTCAGGGATGATTTTTTTTAATTGAAAAAAACTTTATTTTTTAGGCTTTTTATGTTAGTGCCTTTTGTAGCACTGCTAGCATTTGTTTGCTTCCCTAAACTTTCTGTTTGTGACTTTCAGTCTGCTTCAGCATCTGCATCACCGTTTCAATCCACATGGTACAGTGAGTCTGAGATAACTCAGGGAGCACACTCCAGGTCACAGAATCAACAACGCGATCATGATTCAAAAAGACCTAAACTTTCCTGTGCAAACTGTACATCTACCTCAGCTGCAAGAAATGTTGGAAATGGCTTAAATGCAGTATCAGGTAAGGATTACATTTCTCTAAGAGTCACTGTAAATGTACTTTGTACTAAAGACCCTTTTCCAAGATGTGACATAATTGTTCTTAAGATTGATTAAACAGGTAGAGTATGTATGTACAAGACAGTGAGTTAAAAATGTAGTGTTGTTTTCCAAAATGTTACTTTAATTACTACTAGGGCTATATAAACTTTTCTTTTACATTTTTTGCTATAAATTTAGTACTAGTATTCTACATAAAATATTATATACTTTGATTAATTTGATTACAAACTGATGTCTGTGGTAATAAAATTGGTAACTTTTAAAAAATGTTACCAGGAAAGCTAAATCTGATGCATATTAAAAGTATTTCCTGTGACTCTCTATGCAAAGATAAGCATTTGACATGATACTAGTGTACAAACTCAGTAATTTAAAAGCTTGCTGGTATTCCAGTAGACTTCTGTATAAGAAATTAGCATTATTACTGGAGGCATGACATTGGGCAGATTACTTAACCACTTCCTCCTCACTTGTACTCCGAAAATGAAATGTTTAGCTAGTGTTTGAAATATTCTTACAGGGAGACAAAGTTGATGATTACACAGTTGAAGACGGAATTCTTGTTGAAGTAGTGTAAGCAATTCCTTTCTATCTCAATAGGCAGGAAAACCATGGCAAAGACATTGTCACTCTAAAGGATATTAAGAGTAGTTTGATGGCTGAGAGCAGACTGAGCTTTAATTTTGTAGATAAACACTAGTTTGCAGAGAGATTTTTTTCTCTTCTGTTACTTGAAAGTGTAGCATTAAGTACACTGGGCCACTTCTCTTAATGAAGATGAATTTTTAAGGCTATCCAGACTAGGAAAAGAAGAGCCAAAATTTCAAGGTAAATAGCAAGAAGGAAAGAAGTTTGCAACTTTTTAAGTTTCTTATTCAGTGAAATCTTATCTAACAAAAAGTAGAAGATAATTGTAACAATATTTTAGTCCTTTATAAACCAAATAGAGTGACAGGAAAATATTCTGATAGATTGAGTATGACACTAAGAAAGCTTTTCAAAAAGAAAAAAGAAAAGAAAACCTTTCATTTCAAGATTTCCTTAATTTTGATTGTGGCAATACTGCTACATCATTGATGGACTTTTTCCCAAATTTTGCAACTTTGGCAAATTTGTAGTTTGTATTATAGCCATTTTATTATCATGTTTCTCTTGAATGATCATATTTTGTAAGGTGGGTAGATTTTAAAATCAGTGTGTTTGGGTAGGAAATCTCTTTGGAAATGGTTAGTTCATTACTGAATATGTTTTAATTTGTTGATTTTTACTTCTGATTGCCAGTGGGTAACTGTGGATATTATTATAAAAATAAACTCACTCAGAGTTACTGAATATTTATTACCATCACAAGCCTTGAAAAGTTTTCTCTGAAATAAAATTTCTTCAATTATTTTAAGATTCTTCTTGGAGACATAGTCAAGTTCCCAGATCTTCATCAATGGTACTTGGATCATTTGGAACAGATTTAATGAGAGAGAGGAGAGATTTGGAGAGAAGAACAGATTCCTCTCTTAGTAATCTTATAGATTATAGTCATCGAAGTAGTGATTTCACAACTTCATCATGTATGTATAAATCACCATGTATAGCTTATCTAATGTTACTACGTTTTCCTCTTTATGAATGCTGTTAAGAACATTATGAAAGAGTAAATAAAGTAACTCTTAGATCCAGATGAAGATTTTAGAAGAGTTTAATATGTTTTCAAGTACCTTATCTGTTTTGCTTTAAAAATATTAAGTAGTTGGGCCCAGCGCAGTAACCTAGTGGCCAAAGTCCTAGCTTTGGACACGCCAGGATCCCATATGGGCACCAACTCATGTCCCACAGGCCCCGCTTCCCATCCAGCTCCTTGCTTTTGGCCTGGGAAAGCAGTCGAGGTTGGCCCAAAGCCTTGGGACCCTGTACCCACTGTGGGAGACCTGGAAGAAGCTCCTGGCTCCTGGCTTTGGATTGGCTTGATTCCAGCTGTTGCAATCGCTTGAGGAGTGAATCATTGGAAGGAAGATCTTACTCTCTGTCCTCCTGTCTGTGTATCTGACTTTGCAATAAAAATAAATATTGAAACAAATTTAGTAGTTAAAAAGAAAACTGAAGTAACTAAGTTATAATCTTTCTTGAGTAAAACATTAAGACAAAACATTCTAAATGCTTGGCTTTGATAGAGGAGATAGACAGTATCAGTAACTTCTGGGTTTCAGGATGTAAAAATATAGAATGAAATAAGATTTAGACTCAACAGTTTGTTTATTCATGGGGCTCTGTATATTATAATAATGTAGCTGTTACATTGGTAGTATGGCTAAGTGTTCACAAAAGAATGTGATATTCTTTTATCACTGTATTCTGCTTTATATCTTCTAATGAGAAAGCAGGGGATAAGAACCATTATTGTTAAAAATATAGAAGATTGGAAAAATTACTGACAAAATGATTGGAGAAATTCTTATCCTTTTGCAGGGTTGTCAGAGTTATTAGGGTGGTAATTTACGTAAAATTACTTTTATATTTATTTCTGCAAGTAAGAAAAAACACCAAAATTTAGCTCCCTAAGATGATACTGCTTTTAATCATTTGAAGAAAAAAATATATAAGACTTATTTATTAGAAAGGCAGATACACAGAGAGAAGGTGAGAAAGATTTTTTTGTACACTAGATTACTCTCCAAGTGGCCGAGTCAGTCTGAATCCAGGTGCCAGGAGCTTCTTTTGGGTCCGAGTCTCCCACGTGGATGCAGGGTCCCAAGGCTTTGGGTCATCCTCTTCTGCTTTCCCAGGCCACAAGCAGGGAGCTGGATGGGAAGTGGGCAGCCAGGTCAAGAATCAGCGCCTGGATGGGATCTCGCGCATGCAAGGCAAGGACATTAGCCACTAGACTACTGCGCCTGGCCTAAGAAAATCTTTAATGGTCTATTATTTTGACTTTTTAGAATTCTGTTAATTTAGATAATTTTCTACCATATGCCTTCTCAGTATTCAGTTGTTTATCAGCTGTTTGCATCTGATAAGTTCATGCTGTATTTCTTTGTTTTCAATTTATAATATTGACTTTATGGTATACTAGATTTTACGAGTTTATTTAGGAAGAGGAAGTACCTTTCTGTTTTTCTATAATCATTCTTTAATACTTAATGTAACAGTACTCAGTTTGAATCTAATATTTCATTTTTGGCAGTGATTAGTAGTTAAGGAAATGCAAATTTAAAGACTGATTTTATGTAATTGGTTACTCTTCTTCCTTTCAAAAATAGATGCTCAAGACAGAGTTCCTTCATATTCACAGGGAGCAAGACCAAAAGAGAACTCATTGAGCACTTTACAGTTGAATACATCATCCACCAACCACCAATTGCCTTCTGAACATCAAAACATGCCAAGTTCTAGGGACTCCAGCAGAAATTCTTTAAGGGCACATTTCTCTTCAAGAGAATCAGGATCTTCCCGAAGCAGTACACTATCTGGATTTTCTTTTATTCCAAATCGAGATGAAGCTCCAACTATAAGCAATTCAGAAAGGGTTGGTTCATCTCAAAGATCATTTCAAGAGTCTTCAGACAATGAAGGTAGGCGGACAACCAGGAGGTTGTTATCACGTATAGCATCTAGCATGTCATCTACATTTTTTTCACGAAGATCTAGTCAGGATTCCTTGAATACAAGGTCATTAAGTTCTGAAAATTCTTACATTTCTCCAAGAATTTTGACAGCTTCACAATCTCGTAGTACTGCAACATCTACATCTGAAGTTCCTGACAATAGGGCATCTGAAGGTCCTCAGGGATTTCGATTTCTTAGGCGAAGATGGGGTTTGTCATCTCTTAGCCAGAATCATAGCTCTGAGCCAGATTCAGAGAATTTTCACCAGGAATCTGAAGGTAGAAGTACAGGACCATGGTTATCTTCCTCATTTAGAAATAGGTGCACTCCTTTGTTCTCCAGAAGGAGACGAGAAGGAAGAGATGAATCCTCAAGGCTATCTACCTCTGAGATGCCATCTAGATCTCATATTTTTAGAAGAGACTCAAATGAAGTAGTTCACCTAGAAGCACAGAATGATCCTGTTGGGGCTGCTGCCAACAGACCACAAGCAACTGCAGCATCAAGTAGTGCCGCCACAGGAGGCTCCACGTCAGAGTCGGCTCAAGGTGGAAGAAATGCAGGAATAACAGGGATTCTTCCTGGTTCTTTATTCCGATTTGCAGTGCCCCCAGCACTCGGAAGTAATTTGACTGACAATGTCATGATTACTGTAGATATTATTCCTTCGGGTTGGAATTCAACTGATGGGAAAAGTGATAAAAGTAAAAGTGCGTCTTCCAGAGATCCAGAAAGACTGCAGAAAATAAAAGAGAGGTAAATTTGAATAACCTATCTTAAAGCCTATAAAACGAGTGGTTTAAAGAAAGAACTCTTATTTCTGAGGTGGTTACTCAAAATAGCTGAATTTTTCCCCCTGTAACATTTGTAACTAATATTAGGGTTTCATTGATAAATGGGTGAATGTTAATTGAAGCAACACTTGCTTAATGAAAGCATCAAGAAATGATCTAAAGGTTATTTTTAACCTTTTTAGAGTTAAATTTTCCCAAAATAAAAAAAACTCAGTCGCTTTCTCTGTTCCTTGATAGGCTAATGTTAACTGGGATTATTAAAAGAAATCAAGCCATCATGAATTATCAATACATCTGTTTAAGATGGTTCATCTACCCTTCATATATATTGCTAACTTTAAAGCTTTTAAGTTTTTGAAATTGTTAGAAAAGCAGATGGCAGTAGAGACAATTCTACTCTCCTCTTGTTAGTTTCCATATACCTACAACAGCTGGGTCTGGTTCAGAAAATCGGTCTTGAGTCTTCAGATGGGTCAAAAGGAACACTGCCTGAGCCAGTGCTACCTGTCAGGGTGTGCAGCAGCAGAAAGCCAGAAACTGGAGTGGGACTGGGACTTGAATCCAGGCACTCCAGGGTGGGATGTGGGTGTCATAAGCAACATCTTAATGCTACCCTTACCTTGGATGCTTTTATGGAATTAAGTAAAATCAGTTGCACAGAGTAAGCTTATTTTGTTTTTTTAAGTCCACACACATATATATACTAAACATCCTTATGTTATGATTATTCAACAGATACCAGTTAAATTCAAGAGTTAGAAAGTTTTCATGTGAAAGAAGTCTTGCAGTTATATTTTGTATGAAAGTCACTGGTAAGAGTTAGAATATGGGAGGAAGACCAAAAAAAGATGATTAGTTTTTATTCTCAACTTGGTTATTTGCCATCTGATTTTGAATAACTTTTATGATTAAATATAATATACTGCTATAAAGAGCACAGTGGTAGGAAGGAAAGACAAAGTTGTAGATTAGCTTTTAAAGATCTTTTTGTTTGATAAAAGGCCTAATTGAATTGTTGGGAGACACAGTTACTATCATTTTGGGCATTTTTGTGCTGTAATAAAACTAGTGATTCCAGTTCTGGTGAAGGAAGGTTGACATGTTTCTGACATGTTGGATGTGAAGCTACTGCTATTTTTCCTTGTATGGCATACCTTGTACATTTAGGCTGTTATCTTGGTTTTGAACTTCATAGTTTTCTTATGGAAAATGATGTTCTCTTCCCTGGTAATGTGGCTTTAATGGTTGCTTATTATAACAATTCCATCTGGTTAAAAGCTTCTGCTGAGGAATGTAGAAAGTAATACGTTTTCTTGCTGTGTCAGGGTTACACAAATATGGGTAAAGTAAGTGTGGGCAGAGGGCAGAACGTTAGTTTAGTCAGCAAAACCCTGTTTTAAAAATAGCACATTTTTGCCATAGAGTTTGTATGTTTGTATGTGTGTACCTTTACTAAATTCTGCCTCATGTATGAAGATTTTAAGAGTTATACAGTAAAATTAGGGTTTATAAAATTTAAATTTGCCACATTAAAAGCAATTGAATTTATGGATGAGAAAAGTTAAATACAAAAGATAAAAACATAAAACACTGTGTCTTCAGTCTTTTAAAATATTTGCCCAGCTTTAGGTCTGATTAAGCTTGCAGATAAAAGTCTACTGACAGCGGCATTTTGTATCTTCAAGCTTTGCTAAATTCATTCAGGAATCCATAAAATTCATATTTCATTTCATTAGCAGTTCAGTATTTTCAAATTACTGAGTACCATTTTTAATTTTTTTTAAAAAAAGATTTTATTTATTTTTATTGGAAAGGCAGATATACAGAGAGGAGGAGGATTAGAAAGTGGCCGCAAAGGCTGGAGCTGAGCCAATCTGAAGCCAGAATCCAAGAACTTCTTCCGGGTATCCCACGCGGGTACAGCGTCCCGAAGCTTTGGCCCGTCCTCGACTACTTTCCCAGGCTACAAGCAGGGAACTGGATGGGAAGTTGAGTCGCCGGGATTAGAACCAGCGCCCATATGGGATCCCAGTGTGTTCATGGCGATGACTTTAACTGCTATGCTGTTTTGCTGGACCCAGTATCAAGTATTTTTATTGAAAAGCATATTTGCAAAGAGGAAACAGGGAAAGATCTGTCCATTGGTTCACTCTTCAAATAACCGCAGTGCCCTAAACTGAGCTAATCTGAAGCCAGGAGCTACTTCTGGGTCTACCCCATGGGTACAGGGTCCCAAGGCTTTGAGCCATCCTACACTGCTTTCCTAGGCCACAGGCAGGGAGCTAAATGGAAAGTGGAATAGCCAGGACATAAACCATGCAAAGTGAGGATTTAGCCACTGATTTAGCCATCAGGCTGGGCCCACTGAGTACCATTCTCATGCCAGCCATGGACTAATGCAGTAGGGATTTAACACAGTACTGTACTAGTTACACAGCTCTTTTGCCTGTGTTTAAATTAATCAGTGAAAGTTAACCTCTTAAGTAAAAGACAGAGGTAAATGGAAATTGTTCCACAGTTTAAAAGCCTACCTTACACCAGGATGATCTAAAAGGTTTTTAGGGCTAGAGAGAATGGGCCATTAAAAGTGTCTTAACATTGGGAGATAAGGATACAGAGGTGATGAACATATAGGTGTATTGGGCTTGAAGTAGTTTGATACACTATGGAACTTTAGTTGCATAGGAGTATTTGTAAAGTGGCAGTGAAAAATAGAGAACTGAAGTTAAGACAAATGAAATTATTTGAAGTGATAGAATAGCTTAATTTGCTTACCTTTAAAATTCTTTTTTTTTTCCTCCATGAAATGTCTTATGGTGGTTACTATTTGTTGTTGTTACTTTTTGCTTGTGTTCTACTCATTGTAAAACTAGGAATAACGAGAAATTTGGAGTTCTATGTCATGGTAAATGACCAACCAGGATGAGTTATGATAGTTCTGTTTGAAAAATGTGCTTTGTTTTCCAGCCTCCTGCTAGAGGACTCTGAGGAAGAAGAAGGCGACTTGTGTAGAATTTGTCAGATGGCAGCTGCCTCATCATCTAATTTGCTGATAGAGCCCTGCAAGTGCACAGGAAGTCTACAGTATGTCCACCAAGAGTGTATGAAAAAGTGGTTGCAGGCTAAAATTAACTCTGGTAAGAGTTACCCATTTGTGTATTTTGTTTTAAAAACTTTTCCAAGACTCACATATGTATGCATTTAAGCTAACACATTTGTTACAGTTTATTGATGGCTCATGTGTAAATATACCTCAGTCATTGGAATCTAAACAAAAGCATTAAAGAGCATTAATCTTGTTTTATAATATTCAGCAAACTATTTCTGTGCACAAATGACATAATTACAATTTGTGATCACTGATGACCTTGTATCATACAAGATCCTTTTTGAATCACAAAAATGATAGTATTTACCAGCTTTCTGTCGTTTATAATGCTGTTTGTCACCTTACATTTTAGGATTCGTCTGTCATAGATGTTCAGTTATTCCCTGAGGGCCTAATCTTGGGGAGCCATGCAGAGTTTTTATTGTGGGATACAATACAATGAACAAGCAGAACAAACCATTGGCTCTGGTCATGGTACTAGCAATTAAGTTAATACCTTTTTGAGGTGAGGGCATTAAGACAGATCAGTAAGAAATTAGATATTTATTTTTCTAATATTTTTATTTAAATTTAGTAGTTTATAGTGTTCAGGCAAAATCTTACAGAACTTCATGCATTCTAGGGCAGTCAAAACGGTCTTATAACATAATTCTGACAAGGCATATATTAACAATTGAAGAGTAAAGCAGTCCTGGGCAAGTGAGCAGAGAAATCCCCAGTAACTTAGCAAGTGAGGAATAATTCCTAGTGAGGAATTAGATATTTCTGAGAAGAGCATTATTCTAATAAAGCGGGTATTGTGAAGACTTTTTTTTTTTTTTTAAGTTTTTTTCATTTAGTGGAAAATTAGAGATCTTCTATCTGCTGGTTCATTAGATGGCTGCAGTAAGGAATGCGGGGCCAGGCCAGAGCCAGGAGAAAGAGTCTCGTTCTGGTCTCCCATGTGAGTGACAGCACCATCTGCCCACTGGGCCAATCTCCACTGTTTTTCCCAGGCCATTTATAGGAAACTGGATCAGAAGTGGGGCTGCTGAGACACAAACTGGCACCTGTATGGGAGGCTGGCGTTGCAGGTGGTCACTTAATCCTCTAGTCATAATTCTGTCCCCAAGTACAGTTTAAATTGGGAATGACTTGGGTGTGTATGTGCACGAAAAATTGGATGATGCACAGTGTGCCTAATATATAATTAGTGGGGAATGGAAGGAATGATTGAGTTGAGAGATAACCGAGGCTAGCTCACATGGGAGAATTTTATTTACAACCAGGATTCACAACTTAGACTGTCTTCTAAATGTGGTATGAAGACACTGGGGTGGGGTTAGAGAGCTGAGGGTTGCACCAGAGACTGGATCTGGTGTGGTCTTATTGATGGTTGGGTAAACTGTGGAGAATGGATTTTATGGGGATTGGTGAAAACAGGGAGACCAATCTGAAGTTTCTTACAGTGACAGTTTGAATTTGTGATAGTGATGACAGAAATAGAATTTGCTGTGTTTTTGAAAAATTTGCCAATGTGAATAAAGTGAAGGAACATTTTTGCATAATTCATGTTTTGCTTAGAAAACTAACTGAATCATAGCGCCTTTTACTGAAATAAAGAAGCTGCAAATGGAATAGATTTTGGACATGGCTATATGTGAACTTCTATTTATTAGACAGTTGTGGAAATGTTAGTCTGTAGTTGGACAAGCTTGGTATTTCAGGAGAAATCGTAAGCAACAATTTTGTGAATTATAAACATGAAAGCAAAAATTGAAGCTTTGAGACTGCATAAGGTTGTCTAGAAAAAGATCACATAACAAAGAGATGGAGCAGGAATACAACCCTGCAGCATTCAAATATTTAATGAGAGTAAAGCACATTTGAAGTGCAGCCTTCATCCAGTAAGCTAAGAAGAAAAGTAGGAAAGTGTATTGTGCGAGTTCAAAGAAGAGAGTATTTTAAAATGTTTGAAGAGGGTAATATCAATCCTATTCTGCTGAGACCTCAAATAAGGTCAGAATGAAGAAATGATGGTTGGGCTTGATAGCATGAATATCCTTGGTGGCTTTAGTCTCTCTGGATGGAGTGATGGAATCATAAGTTTGCAAGACCTGATTAAGGAGAAAAAAGGAGGTATGAAAATGGAGGAACAGCAATATATATACATTTCCTTTTCAAACTACTATCAACGAATTGGGAGATGGGGGCATAGAGTTATATGGGTTGATAAGACATGTTTTATTTAGGGGTGTGAAATTTTAAGGCTTTTTTTAAAGGTTTATTTCAGAGGCAGACTTACGGAGACAGGGTTACCTTCCATTGCTGGTTTATTTTCCGAATGCCAGTAACAGCAGGGTCTGGACCAGGTGGAAGTTGAAATTTTGTCTAGGTCTCCTATGTTGGGTAGCAGGGGCCCAGCTTTACCTGGTCATTAGCAAGGAGCTGAATTGGAGAAAGAGAAGCTGGGGCTCAAACTAGTGCTCACATAATGCCAGCCTTGCCTTAACTTGCTGCACCACAGCACTGGTCCCTGAGAGAAAGAAAGATTAATATTGCTTACTTGAGAATCAGAATAGACAGTGAGACAGCTTCCATCTGTGTTTCACTCCCCAAATGCTCACAGGGACCAAGGCCAAAGGCAGGAACACAACACAGGTCCACCCACAGCCACTTCCGTAGGACCTGCACTGACAAGAACTTGGGAGTGAGGACTAGAACTGGGAGTGTTTACCTAGCCATGTTGAGGCTTAGAGGTATTTACTGATGCGTAGACCACAAGTGCCAGAGGATATAGTCAAAATGACAGAGTGAGAAAAGTGGGAAACTAGATCAGATTAGTAAATGTATGTGATTATGTGCAATTGGACGTCTGATACACTGAAGTATGATGGCACTGATTTTGTCCTCACCGCCCGGAAATGTGAGCTCTTACCAAAATGAAGAACAGCTTTACTCAGCCTGATGAACTGGCAGTTGCCTTGTTAGTTTTGGGTGAGGAGGAAAAACAGATCCTAGAGATTAAACATTAAGGGTTTTTTTTCCCTAATAACGTGTTATTTTAACATTAGCTTTTTAGTTAGACAAGCTTAGATTGGAATATATTAATACCAGTATTTGTCTAACTTATAGTCCAATATTTAGCTAACTACAGGATCTTGAACATGCTTTTCAACAGTGGTTCTCAGATTGCTGATAAAAATCACTGTTTTTAAAATGTAGATACTCTTTTTCAAAGGTTTTTAAGTAGGTCTGGAATTGGGCCTCAGTTCCATGAGTAAAATTGAGCAATACCAAATGGAATTGCTGTGAAGATCAAATGCGTTAATGACTGTACCAGTCATGGCAAATACTCAAATGTAATACTGAGTTACTGTATAAGGTTATAATGAGTACTTTTTAAGATAGGTACAGACATCAACAGCTGAAACTTCTCACACTTAAACAAAGACCCTGTGTTGTGGAAGATGTGGTGCTAAAGGTTGACCTAAGTTGTTTATTAAGCAGCTGTGTTACACTGATGGCTAAGCTATTACTGGATATACAGGATGAGTAAAACCAGTCTAGACAAGCTTGGGCAGATGCGTTTGAAGCTTCTTGAATGAGCTGGATTATAATTTAAATAGCTCTGACTAAGGAATGTGAGCATAACCTGGTTACTCCTAGCAGTGGTGACCTTTCTTGAATGACTTGCTAAGTCTCTCATTCCATGAAAGAGAACAATTAAATCCTAAGATACAAAATAATGTGAACTAACATGAGCTCTGAAGTTGATATTTTTACTGTGTCTGAGTACAGTTCTAAAATATCTTAATATATTCTTCCTCAGATCACAATATAAAATATAAAGTATTGCTACAATAATTGACTTGTGAAAATTAGGAAAATGTTCCAGATGAATTTTAGTTTCTTTTAATCTAAAAGTATTTGTATTATTAAAAAGAAAGAAGCTGATTTTATTTACAAATTTGAAATAATGATATATCATACTATATCAACGATATAGGACAGAGATCTTTTGAGAGATGCATGGTCAGTCAGTTGCGTCAGTGTGGGAACATTGTAGAGTATATTTTTAAAGTTTTCATGGTATAGCCGACTGTGCCCTATTATAGGTGGGGGTGTGACTGGTGCTTTTGTGACCACGCTGAGGAAAACAGCAAATTAAATCAAACACACACACAAAAAACAACAGTGCCATCCAAAGAGTATATGTGAAGCTGGATGGTACCATAAACTGAGCACAGTGTTTTAAAGTAAACCTGTTTTTGTTTTTGTTAAGAAAGAAAATATACTGAAGTTAAAAAAGATGTAATGAATACATAAAACAGTAAATTAATTGTTCAGAATTATCAGGTATTATGTACTAAACAATTGAGCATGTGCTACCTATTTAATGCAATAGGTGTTTATACATCAGTGTTGCCACAAACATAAGAGTATGGATTACAACTTGGTACTATATTGGCTAAGTGTCATTAAGCAATATGAATTTTCTTTTAGTTTCATTTTAATTAGTGCATTTGTTACTGTTTTGCCATTCTTGATGCAACACATGACAGTAGTGAAGATTACAGCGTACTTACACTTCATTTTGAAACAATATAGACACTATACTTTCTAAGATTTGAACTCCTTATGCTTTCAGCTGTTTTCTAGGGAATGCAAATAAATTATTACTATTTTCTTGAACATGGAAAAGTTATTTAAAAGGAAGTGTGATAGAGAATGAGACAGAGCTTTGACCTGCTTGATAAAATGTTCCTGATTACCTAGTCCTGGGCTAGTGTGAAGCTGAGAGCTAGGAACTACATCCTTGCCTTGCGTAACAAGAATCCAAGTGCATGGACTGTCATTTGTCTGCTAGACGCTGTAGTAGGAAGCTGGTTTGGAAGCAAGCCTGGCACTCCTTGTGGAATGGCAGATATTACAAGTGGTGACTTGACAACTGTGGGAATACTCCAGCTCTCAAATTTGCCTCAGTTAAATAAACTAAGAAACAGTGGTTGTATTTTGTGAGTTCTTTGAAATGGGCCACTACTCAGAATCTCTAGAACCTTTGATTATTGCCTGGCTAGTAACAGCACTTAGTAATTGAATTTCAATTCTAGCCTGTTTTTCATATAGGCTTAGTGTAATGTTTAGGACAGCTTTTGGTTTGAAGCCATATCTGAAAATAAACACAGGAATGTAAAACGTTATGTGTCGAATGAGACAAAACTACTAACATAAGGTCAGGAGCTTGCAAGTAATCAACTGGTGAATGCATATTAAACAGTAGAAGTTATTTTTTAAAAGTTACTTTTATTTATTTAAAAGTATTTTTAAAAGAGGGGTCAGGTGTCATAGTGCAGGGCCTGAAGTTAACAGGTTGGAATGTTCACATCTCATTTTATAGTGCCTGGAACTGATTTCAGCCTCCAGTTCAGCTTTTCACACTGGGAAGCAGCGTTATTAGATCCCTGCCACCTGTGTGGGAAGGCAGGCATGGCATTCCTGGCGTCAGGTGCATATTAAGCCCCTGGCTATTTGGGGCATTTAGGATGTGTGTTAAGGATGGACGATCTCTGTCTCTTGTTATTCTACATTTCAGATTTTCTAAAAATGAACAAAACACTGTAGGATACAAATTTTTCAAGTTTGCCATTGGGACAATATTATTTAGTTCGGTGCATTCAGAATGCTGTGCACCTTCACTGTTGTGCATTTCTACTTTTTCATTACCCTAAATAGAAACTCTCCTACTGCAGTAACCCCTTGTTCTTTGGCAGCTTTGGATCTGCTTTGTCTTTACATTTACTTTAGATGTTTCATACAGGCATATAATGTTCTATTTTATTCTATTATTTCATGTAAGCATATAATGTTCTTTTGCACCATGAACTGTTTGTCCTTTTGTCTCTGCCTTATTTAGGGTACATTCTTTGTTCTCCTAAAGCCTTAGGTGTGTGCTGTCACATCAGATTAACTACCCTGGATATGTAACTTAATTGTTTTGAGTTACTTTATGACTAAACATTGTTTTATGCCATGGTGCTTAAGGAAGAAGTAGGAAGTACAGCTGACATTCCATCCCTCTGTCTGCTTTCTACTATCAAGGATATTTGAGTATGTGGGAGGAAAATACATATTTAATTAATGGCTAGAGGTTTAAATGCCATAGGGCATGATCTGACTTGCTCATTGAATATTGGTTGCTATTTTGGAAGATAGGACTGGTTTATTGCAATAATGCAGTTTGTTTATTTTTCTTTCTCAGCAGGATTTTCTGTGCTATCTATTTAAAACTAAAACTTAACCGAAAATGTCTTGTGAAGACATTGAAAGGCTGAGCTTGACTTGCAATTCAATTTTTACCAGGTTCTTCCTTGGAGGCCGTAACTACCTGTGAACTCTGCAAAGAGAAGTTGCAGCTTAACCTGGAGGATTTTGATATTCATGAACTACATAGAGCTCATGCAAATGAACAAGTTAGTATATTTTGCCTAATTTGGTAAGTGTCTATCCTATGCTTAACGGACAGCTCTTGAAGAAAAGATTGAAGCATGGTCAGAAACCCTATACATTATTTTTCTTTTCTGAGTCAAAGAAATATAGCAAAGTGAAAGTTTTAATAAGATTGATCAAATTTCTTACATAAACATAGGGAAATTGTCCTAGATTAGGCCTGCCAGAGCTGTAAACTTTTAATCACCATTTTATTCTTAAAAACTTTAATCACTTACAAAGAAAATTCTGTAAACCATTAAGCAGTTTCTCCCCTTTCCCTTCTTCTCTAGGTCTCTGGTACCTACCAGTTTGTGGTGTTTTATAAATCTGGATGTTTCAAGTGAATATTAGATCTTTTGTGAACAGCTTTTAGTTTTAAAATATGTGGATAATGATACCCTTTGAAAATCTGATTAAAACTGTGGGCCTCAGAAAAAATTTAGCTTTAAAAACATTAGGAAATTTTCATATTCCTTGAAATTAGTCACCTAGCTCCAGGCCTTTAGGAGTCACTGATCTACATTGAAATGTCAGGAGTTTTTATTCTGTCCGTTTCAGCCAGGAACTATCTTAATGTTTTCTTCAAGAAGATTCTGTAGAGTAGTAATCATTGACACATTATAGAAAAAGGGAAAGAGCATGGAAATACAGAATAATAAAGAGAAAGGAAGTATATGTTTTTCTCCCAAAAATGACAGTTTTAAGGGCATTGTTTTCTCCTGCCGTCTTCCTTTAGACATTTTTCAGCCAGGAGTGTTATTATTTCTTGAAGCATTTTAATGACTCACAGTCTTAAAATAATTTCAAAATATTAGGAAATACCAGATAGTGGTATTGTAAAAACAGTGACAGCCCTTGATTGAATTTCATGGCTTTTGATTTTTTGTTTTCTGTGTGAATTGTGGATTCAGATGGCCTTAAACACAGTGCTCATCTGAGTGATTAGCCTCATATTGCTAATATCATTGCTGTCCAGTGTAGTATGATGATTAGTTTCTAAAAGCTTTATAAATATGATTTGAAGTTGAAAATGAAATAGATACATTTCAGGTTTCTGGGATACATAGTACTTGCTAAATTTATAATTAAGAATGTATGATTCTTAATGTCAGTGGTAAATTTACCAAGAAAAATAGAACTTACTTTGTAAAAATTACAGGGCCTATTTTATTTTTACCTAACTTTATAGTCATGGTTTTTTGTTGTTGCTGTTAGATTCATTTTGTTTGTTTGGAGTTACAGAAAGAGGCAGATACAGTATTCCGTCTGCTGGTTCTCTCCCTAGATGGCCACAATGGCCACAACAAATCTAGGCTGAATCCAGGAGTCAGGATCTTCTTCCAAGTCTATTCCATGTATGTGTTGTCACACAAGCACTTGGGCCATCCTCTGCTGTTCTTCAGACACATAAGCAGGGAGCTGGGTCAAAAGTGAAACAGCTAGTACTCAACCCGTGCCCATATGAGATACTGGTACTGCCATGTGGCAGATTTACATGCTACGCCACAGCCTGGCCTCATAGTCGTAGTTTTTTTAATCAGACAGCAATCTTCTTTGAGTATTACAGAAGTTACTGTGTTACCTTTTTGGTTCATTCTTGTGGTTATTGTTGTCTTTAGATTAGTTGTATTACACAAGACTGTATTGTCAGTAGATTTTACTCAAAATAGTTCCTTTCATTTAAATGATGATTTTTAAGTAAATATACATAACTACAGCTCTTTGTAAAATGAAATGTTACTGGCTTTGTAGAAAACCAAAGCATAAATTACCAAATGAATTGAATTCTCCACTTTAATATAAATCATGAAATCATTTATATAAATCATATAAATTCATATATAAAGGAAAACAGAATGAAGAGATAATCACACCCACATGGATTCATTATATAGCATTAATAAAAATTTATGAAATTATGAACAACAGCCTTTTATTTTTAGGGCACTGTATCACAAGGAACCAGATATAAGATTTCCTCTAGTTTATCAGTATTCTGTGAATATCCATCTCCCTTCCTAATTTTTTATTTTCTGTTTTTCCTTTTGTCCTGTGGCTTCCTTATTGAAGGCTGAGTATGAGTTTATCAGCTCTGGTCTCTACCTAGTTGTATTGTTGCACCTGTGTGAACAAAGCTTCTCTGACATGATGGGAAATACAAATGAACCAAGCACACGTGTCCGAGTAAGTAATATTGGAGTGGGAGAGGAGGGAGAGTATGATGGAGTCATTGTTTTTCTTAGAAAGCACATATGTTCACTCCTCCTTGGGGAGATCTGACTTTAACATGTTTGTTAAAAATGAAGAGACAGTGGATTTAAACTTCTTCTTTCTGTAACTGCTTATTTTTTCATAAATATGTTAGAGAACGAAGTAATCTAGCTCTTGAAAGTAATTGGAACATATTTCAGTGACAAATAGGAACAGAATTGGAAACACAAAGGAGCGAATATTCTTTTTAATAAGCCAAAACAAGCCAACTCCGTATCATAACTTAGAAACTTGAGCTTGAATGCTCGAAGTCAAAAGACAATGAATGAGAAGTAAGCTTCAGTTTAACTGCCCTCTTGGATATTATCAGTGATTTTCTTCATGTCATATTGCAAACTACTTAAAATACAGACTAACTGGTATCTACTGCCTATGCTATTGGCCATATATAACATTTAGACTAGTTGTTTTTTCAGACATAGATAAATAAGGAAATGGTGCTCTTTGTACTAGAGAAAATTAATGTCTGCTGCCTTGGCCATTTTCTGTAGCAGGAGCTGGGGGTCTGTATCCGTTACTACTCCAGCATTATTATGAACACTTCCTATCTTTAGATGTGTTCATAAATATACCCTTCAAATTGTTTCTACGAATGTTTACTTTGATGAGAAATGTAGTAGAATTCATGGTAGAATTCATTGAAACAACTGCAATACAAGGTATAAAATACTGCTTCTAAGGACACAGTACTTTGGACTGTATTTTATCCTGTGTATACTGCAACAGGGAACTAATTGACAGATGATTACCATGATTACAGATTAAAACATAAGCAGGGGCATTCAGAATTTGAGCAGGTATCTTGACCTTTGCATATTTTACAAATTGGTAGCCCTTAAATTTACTGAATGGCTTAAAATTATTTCTGAAAAGGTATGTTAAGTGTTAAGAATAATAATATAAGAAGGATATAAGGTCTTTTGAATTCATTCTTCACAAGAAAAGTTTTGTTATTACTCTGTGTATTAGTATTAAAATTGAAGTCATTTTAAGATTTAAGTCTAGAATTAAATGCAAACTTGTACAGGCATCAGGTTGAGGTAGGAAAATACTTACTCTTGAATTTTTTCTTCCCTTAGCCACTAAAATTTGATTACCATAGGTGAAGATCCCTTCTCTGCTGTAATTTGTTTTACAAGAAGACAGTTTTATTCTTAAATAAATAAAAATTATTGTATCTGCTCTTAGAGTTAAGAAACTGATTTTATTTGATTAATGCTGATAATTTGAATTTCTTAAATGTAATTCCCTTAAGGTATAATTTTTGAGGTAGGGGGAAAAGGGCCCCTATTTAAAAGCTTAAAATGGTATTTGACTTTAGTATTAATGAAATCTCCTATACTGGTTCTATATTTAGATCCATTTGCAACATTTAAACTACTGTATTTCTTTCTGCATTGTTTCTAGTTTATTAACCTTGCAAGAACGCTTCAGGCACATATGGAAGATCTCGAAAGTAGGTGGAATTTCCCCTCCCCAGACTTGTTGAATTTATTCTTGCAAATTAAACCCACAGAACACAACCAAAGTATACACTCTTTTCTACCAGTTAGAGCTTCATTTATAGGCTTAGTATAGCAGAACGAATGATTGATTGGGAAATATGGGTCGAAGTGACATGAGTATTAAGCATAGTTTTTAAACTTGTTTTAAGGTACAAAAGGATATAATTTTAATTATTATTTCACACTCATTTTAGAACTTTAATCAACAGGAAGATAATAAGCTTAACTACTAATCAAACCACATTTCTTTATCTGTTAGTTTTAGAGTTTGTTTTGTTTGCTTGTTTGTTTTTGGTACTTGTTTTCAGCTTTTGTGAGATTATGAAAGGTTTTATCTGAGCTTATATATGGTTCCGGGAAAGTAAGGAAGAAACAGTCTTGATTGTGGATCTCCAGCAGAAGCTAAGGCCGTTTCCCTGGTGGTGGTAGGGGTTTGGCCCCTTGTCAGATCCTTTTGGCTCTTTAACGGATTTTGCTATACCTTAATCTAAAAGGCAGCAAGCTCAACAACAGCTTGGTATTAAGTTTACATTTCAGACTCCAAAGTGAAGGATTCCTAGATGGAGTTGGATTTACAGGCTTAGGTAAATTCTGCCTTTGCAAAGTGCAGTAGCTCCCAGGGTGCCTCATAGTGGTGGGGCCACAGGTGTTAGAGTCTGTAACATTTTGTTGGAAGCTGAGACTACTTCATTCAACCATTATTTAATTTTTCAACCCAAAGCAGCAGGTTTCCCACTGCACAGCACTCCTTGAGGTGTCCTTTAGTACGTATTCTCAGATTACTTTGTATACTCACCGTTAAAATTTGTCTTTAGAGAAAGCGCAGCATCCTTTGAAGTCAGTTTGAGGTCTTAGTCTTCATAAGAAACTTTTAATTCCTTGGATATTGTAAGATAGATTTTTGCCCTTAAGTTTATACTAATTTTAACTTTTAAAAAGGATTGTTTTTTAAACCAGGCAATGCCTTTTCATTGTTTAATTAGTGTTTTGTGAGGATTGAATCAGTAGGAATTCATTTGGTATTGTTTTTTCCTTTTTGCCTTCTTAGCACAGAGGCCTTACTGGATCTAAGGTCTCATCTTTTTTTTTCTTTTTCTTTTTTTTTTTTAAAGTTATAATTTAAACTTTGTCAGATGTGACAATAGAGATGAGTCAATTTACATTTTCCACTGGGTTTTGCTTTGTTTCTTAAATAAAACTAACAGTCCAAACTAACACTGCATTCCCCAAACATAGCAATGTGTGCTTCAAACATGTGAGAGAGAGAGGAAAAAATAGAAAAAAAATAATGAGAGTGAAAGATCTGGTGTACCACCTAACACAATTACCAAAACATTCATACGTTATGAAGATGGGTTCCAACAAAGTTCCCTAAAAACTATTCTGTTTACTTTTTCCATGATCTATCATAAAATTTAATTATATAATGTATTTCATTCAGTAAACTATATTATATGTTTGGCATTATTTATTAGAAATGGTTTTCATCTATGAATATTGTATACTTTTCCTGTGCTTTGCTAAAGGTTGATCCATTTGCTGGATACTCTTAAATTGTCCAATATTAATTTAAGCAGAGTACATTAAATCTTTCTGTACTTATTGATAGTGAAGATGCTGGTTAAATATTTAGTTTTCTTCACATTCAAAACAGTTTACAGAAGTCTAAATTTTGAACCTTTTTAATGACTTGAACAACCTGAAGTCAGATGTTGGCAGAGTGATAAGTTTGTGACCATGTGGAGAATAATCTCAACAAAAGATTTTTACTAAATCCAGTTATTTTAACTTAGGCTGTGTCTATATAAAGCTTTTCTGACTCACTAAATTAAATTTTTTCTTGGCATTGTATAGACATAGCTTTAATGTAAGTTGCAAGATCACCCATAACATATGATTTTATGTACATTTTTTTTCATTCTCATCGGATGCATCAAACATGCAGCGGTAATAAGCCAGATTCTACTCAGGTGTGTGAGAGCACTTGGCTTACATTCACTTTTCTCTAGTGTACATGTCATGAGCTGTTATGAACACAAATTGATCTCAGAACTTTTTTAGAAGATGCTCTTGAACCACATTTTTAAACATTGTCATTTTTATAAAACTGTATAACATCATAAATGGTGTGTGGGTGGGGGTGTTGTGGATGGGCATCACCCACAATCAGACCACCCTAACCCTGTCATGATAGCTTATCATTTTGATCAAACAATATACTAAATTGGGAATTTGTTTCACAAGTCATTGCTGACTGGCTGCATATTTACACTTCCTGTTCTCATTCTCCTTAAAATCATTCTTGATCATCTTGTTTTCTTTCAACAGCTTCAGAGGATGAGTCTGAAGAAGATGGAGACCATAACAGAACATTTGATATTGCGTAACTTCATATAAGACAAACGGATGGTCTGTGAACAAGTGTTTTATTAAAACTGGCAATTAAGTAAGAATTCATTTTGTGCGGGAATGCCTGTTAGATATATTGACTATATAGAACAAATATTTATATACATATGCATGTGTGTATATATGCATATGTGTATAGATATTCTCCAGTGTTGCTTAATTGAAACTGCTGGACCTTTTAACATGACCAGTTAATCTAATGTTTATAAACTGGTCATCAGAAGTATTTTTGGCAAGTGGGAAAGTATTAACCTTGTTTTAAATCTAAACAGTGCACATCAGCCCTTTTTTGTGTTTTGATTACTGTAGTCATATTTATGAAAAATGGTTCGTGTTAGTCTCTTCCTAGTGAAAAAAAGTGGAAATTTTGCTTTGGAAATTAAATGCCAAATAGTACCTGATTAGTTTTCCTTTTGAAATGCCTTAAGTTGCAGTTACATTTTGATAATCATTTGCTTCCAGTGTTTAAAAAATTTTTTTTTAAGAATGGGGAGAAGGTCATAAAGAACATATTAGGTTTCAGATTTAATTTGAATTCTAAATTTAGCAGAATCTAATTTTTAGAAATATAAAATGTATAAATGATGGTTAAATTTTTGTATTACGTTGCAAAATGGAGATTATATTTGATAGCCCATAGAATGTAGATATTCTTTTGGGGAATATTACAGCTATAATTAGACCTGAATTGCCAGTCGAATGCTGTTTGGTTTTTAAAAAAATTATTGCAATTTCAAGTTAATGGAATGTTTTTAAATCCCACATTCAAAGTTTAAAACACTGGTTTTCAATGTGTTTTTTAGTGTTGTCACTTTATAGATAAATATGATATAAATAACCTGTTTGGATTCTGGTCGTTTTTAACTGTTCCTTGGTAATTCTGAGGATTTATTTGGTGATTATTAATATTTTTCACTATCTCTTCAGAGAACAGATGAGTATTACCTGTTCACCATCAGTAGGCCCACACTGTCATGAGTTGTGTGTATTTCCATAACACTGTATTTCTCTCTGTCAATACCCTTAAGAAATGCTTAAAACATCTTCAGGTGGCTTTAGGATAAAGTCTGATGTATGTCAGCAAACTTCCTTTTCAGAACCTGAAAAATATGTAATTTCTCCAATGTGAACAATTTGCCCACACTTAGTTTTGTTGGTCTTATGTAAAATTTTGGCTTGAAATAAAGTATGTACTGATCAATTAACTTTAGTTTCAAATATTTCCTTTTAATTGGTGTTCACAAAAACCATCACACCTCAGCCAAGAATTTTATTAAAATTTCAAATTCTGTTTCATACAATATAAGTACTTTTGAAACACTGGTCTTTTTTTTTCCTTTTATCTTCTCCTTCCCTTACTCAGAAAAAAATACAAAATTTCAGTATGTTCTATGGGTCCCGAGGAATGCTTAAAAGTTTTTAGAATTCAGTATGTAACTTAAGTGTCTTTTGCTCATCCACAATTTCATTTAAAAATGTTGAATTAATGGTACAAAACACTCCATCAATGTGCTTATGACTTATCTGTATTTAATGTTGTCATTAAATGCTACATGACAGTGATAACAGTTTCTTAAGTCTTGAGTTTTGAGATTTCACAATACTATTTACCATTCAACTGCTGTCATTAGCATCTAATCCCAAGTAAACATGACACCAGAGGAATAAGGGGACCATCTTGCATTAGTTATCACTTAAATGCTGAACAAGAGACCACATGCTACTATAAGGATTACAGAATCCCAAGACTATATGTACCTTCAAATGGTGACCTCTCAAGGTACCTGCCAGACACGTAAGAGTGTTATTACCTAGAAGAAAGGTGCTGAAGAAAGCAGTTTCTACATTCTGATATGTAAATATGATTTAGCACTTCGTTACTGTGGCCTTTTGTCCTGATGAGAATGAAATACAACACTGAAAGTTTTTTAAAACAGCTTTTTCTGAAAATGGTGTCATTAAGTAGAAACTATCAAAACATAACATAGGAAAGTTAGCAGTGTGGGAGTTGTATAGCAGGGGAGAGCCTGGAGTACCACTGTTCACTAATACTGTCTGTAGTGTGAACTGCTCTGTACAATGTACTGCCCAAGCTAGCCACTGATCACATGTCATTTTAAGATCTTGAAATGTAGCCGTTGTAATTGAGGAACTAAATCTTAAACTGTAACTTGGAATATCTACATGTGACTTGTAGTTAACTGGACATTGTAATTCTGGAAATTTGAAATAATTGGTAATAAGTTTTTAAAGGACTGGAAGAACTTGAGTAGGGAATTCCAGTTAACAGATCACCATTAGTATTCCTAGCCTATAAACAAATAGACATCTCAGTCATACACAAATTATCAAATTTGCAATTAGAAAACATGACTGTTTATAGAGTACAACTAGTGTAATACTGCCAGTACTACATAGCCTTGCTGTTTAGTTTTCTTTCCCCACTTTATAATTATTTGTATCTTACAATGACAGTAATTTTGAAGACTTGCTTTTTCATTCAGGTCAATGAAAACAGATGGCATAAAGCTTTCAGTTTTGTTGCTATTACTCAACCATATTAAGACTTTATCCTGCACTAAGAAACTCTGATAATTGATGGGACGTGGATTAGAGATTACTTGAAGCTTCAGGCTTCTGCAATCATTTTTCCTTGTGATTTCTATGCATCCTTTATCTTTTACAAATATGGCTTATGAGCTATGAAAGATACCGAACAAAATCATTTGTTTCAGCTTACTTTCACCTTTCTTAAGAATGTAACCCACTGAAAGTTTGAGCATCATCACTGTAGTCGAACCTAGTGGTTTTCTTCTGATTTGCTTATCCAGATCTCATGCAATTGAAGTATAAAATTTATAAACCCTTTGGGAGTCAGAGGTAGGTTGTATCACAAAGCATTCTGGCAAGAGAAACATTTTAAAAAGTGTTAACATTATTGCCAGCTTTCTATCTTTCTGATAAGGCTGTATTTTTGTTCCAAAATGTTTATAAAGTTTTCTGAAAACTTTAACCATTTTTATAGTATTTGTGTTCCAAAATGGTGTGTGTCAAACTAGCGAGACTGTAAAATTGGTAAAGGTTCTTAAAATTGCAAAAATTTCATCTAAGTCATAAAGGGAAATACAACTATGAGAGGGATTATCTTTCCAAGTAATCAGTATCTAGGATATTTAAATGTATGGCTTACCTAAAAATTAGGCTAATCCCGTTGACATGTGAACAAAAAGAACAGGTAAAATAAGCAGGCTAGACTTTTTATCTATGTCTACTCGACTTTGTCTTTAAGCTTTGCTTCAACTGAAAGCTTCTGTACTGGAAGAAACACTACCTAGATTTAATAATTCCCTTTGTAAAGCTTGTTTTTATGATGATTTAAAAAATGAGTTCGCTTACAATGAGAACATGTAAGTGCCATTACTGGAATAAGGAATATCATAAAATCTCTAGTTTTTTATGTCCACATTTCACATTAAAAGATCTTGCACAGGAATCTCTTTCAAGTCATTTGATATTTTAGTCTGAGGTTTCCAAAAAGTTAGTCAAATTGAACACCACACTCATTTTCTTCTGCGACTACCAAAACACAGCCATCGTCATAAGGTGACCGGGGTGCCACTGAGAACGCTGTAGTGAAAGCAGAGTCGGAATGTCTTCTGTAAAGGAACCAAATGATTGCTCCCAAAGCTGTCAATGTGACTGTGCTAGCAATCACCAAAGTTGATATTAAAATCTGCTTATCTGAAAAAGAAAAAAGTCTATGTTAGACCTACAAACGATGCATTTTGAGACAAAACAAATTTCATTGCATAAGTCTGTCATCCTGAGAATTTTCCACATTGGTGAGAAAAATAATTATTCATTTGTTATCAAGGTTTGTATTTCTTGGTTTGAAAAAGTGGCCATGGTTCAGAATAGTACTTGCAATTCTTGGCTCTGGGCTGAGAATCCTAAGGTGGAAATCGGGTTCTAGACCACAATCCTATTGTCATCTTTAGCTTTTCCTTCCTAAAGGAAGACTTATGTTGAACAGGGTCAGTACATACAGTTCTGAAAGCATAATCATAGTCTCCCTCCCAAGAAATAGTGACTTTTTAGGTACTTGTTAGTGATGTTTCTTCATCTGAGTTTTTGGGATTTAAAGTTTTCTTCAGAGAAAAATACTAAGAGCCACATTTTGATTTTTTGCTTCCATTCAGCTATCTTTTTTTATGTACTTCTTAAAGTTACATATAACTGTGTACAACTTTCTAGTTTTTTCCCTATTCTGAGTCCTTAAAATTTTCTGTAGGTGCTTAGTTCAATCAGTTGAGGGAAACTGATGATTAGAGGCTCAACAGAGAGACACAGCCTTGGGAAGGCATTTATTTGCATTAAATATACTAATAAAAGCCTTGGGATCCTGCACCTGAGTAGAAGACCTAGAAGAAGTTCCTGGCTCCTGGCTTCAGATCAGCTCAGGTCTGGCTGTTGCCACTTATGGAATGAACTAGCAGACAGAAAATCTTTCTCTTTGTTACTCCCTCTCTCTGTATATCTGCCTTTCCAATAAATTTTTTTTTAATTAAAAAAAATATATATATATTTGGGCCCGGTGGCATGGCCTAGCGGCTAAAGTCCTCACCTCGAACGCCCCGGGATCCCATATGGGCACCGGTTATAATCCCGGCAGCTCCACTTCCCATCCAGGTCCCTGCTTGTGGCCTGGGAAAGCAGTCAAGTAGTTCCTACATCCTGGCTTTGGATCGGCCGTTGCAGTCACTTGGGGAGTGAATCACTGGATGGAAGATCTTCCTCTCTGTCTCTCCTCTCTGTATATCTGACTTTCCAATAGATAAATAAATCTTTTAAAAAAACAAATATATATAAAAATATTTATATAAATATATATCACGTGAGAGCAGACCCGTATTGACAGGATTTTTGAGGTGGGGCATGGTGCAGCACTTAAGATTTGAGATTTCCACATACATCCATGATTGGCCTGCTTGGGTCATATCAGGACATGATGAACAGATGTTGCTGCTGGTCTGCACACTGGAGACGCAGGTACTGGTGCCATGGGAGAGGCATGCATTAAGGACCCCTGCTGCAAGCCTTGGCCTGGCCTGGCCTGGCCCACCCACTCACACTTCTTTGCATATAGAATTTCCAGTTGGATTTAAAATACCAAATTTTTACAAAGCTAAGATTCTTTTCCACATCTACTTTGTGTTACACAATTAACTTTTGAAAGAGTTTGCATTAGGATTTTAACATTAAGATTTTAATGTATCTTTAATTGTGGGGTTATAAAGCCAGACTGTTACTTACCTGATAAATATTTCTTTTCATATGGTACTAAAACACAAAAGAAAATTTTTAGAAATTAATAAATTTATGCTTTGTTATAAAACTGAATTAAGTTACCAAAAATGAACACTTTAAACAGCTTATTGTTCACGATTCTACTGCTTTTATGCTTATTTTTAAATTGGCTCTTAAGGAAAGATACAGATATCCAAATCTGTTAGCTTGATTGGTAGGAAAATAAAGGAACTCAAAGGTAATCAGGTGAAGGAGGTAAGAGTATTCTGGTTGGAAAATCTGTAGGAAACATAATAAAGTTAAAATAATCTTGATTCATTAGCATGGATCTGTTTATACTTTCTGATCCTTTGGTATAATCATGTAATTAAAATTTATGTACCGTGAGGTATATAAATAGAACCATATTTAAATTTTTTAATTTTTCCTTATTCAAAAGACCCACAGAAAGGGAGCAGTAGAAAGATCGTCTATCTACTGTCAACTCCAGTGGCTGCAGTTGCTAGAACTAGGCCAGGCTGAGTCCAGAATCTTCGTCCAGGTCATCCACGTGAGTGCAGGGGACCCACGTGCCTGGCTCATCTGCTGCTTTCCCAGGTGCATTAGCAGGGAGATAATGGGAAGGGTCGCAGCTGGAATGCTTAACCGGTTAAGCCACAACAGCAGCCCAAAAAGAGCCAATTTTTAAAATCCAAATATTCAAACTTTTATGCTACCACCATGAAAGTATTGAAAAATATTTATATGTCACTGTAGAACTAGGTATAGTCTGGCCCGGCACGGTAGGCTAGCTGCCAAAGCCCATGCCTTGAACGCACCCAGCTCCCATATGGGTACCAGTTTGTATCCCAGCTGCCCCACCTTCCATCCAGCTCCCTGTTCGTGACCTGGGAAAGCAGTAGAGGACAACCCAAAAACTTTGGGACCCTGCACTCGTGGGAGACCCAGAACAGGCTTCCAGCTTCTGGCTTTGGATCAGCACAGTTCGCGGCCACTGGGAGAGTCAATAGGCAGACAGAAGCTCTTCCTCTGTGTCTCTCCTTCTCTCTGTATATATGAGTTTCCAATAAAAATATAATCGTTAAAAAAAAAGAAAAAACTAAGTATAGTTAAGTTCCTTGCTGTGTTAAGTTGAAAGTTTGTGTGATGGGGTCAGCTAATCCTCCACACCTGCAGTGCCAGCATCCCATCTGAATGCCAGTTCGAGTCCTGGCTGCTCCACTTGCAGTCCAGCTCCCTGCTAATGGCCTGGGAAGGCAGTGGAGGCTGGCTCAAGGCCAGCCTTGTGGGAGACCCAGAAATTGTTGCTTGCTCTTAAGAACTAGCCCAGCTCTTGCAGCCATTTGGGGAGAGGACCAGCAGACGGCAGATTCGTTTTCTCCCTTTCTAACCCTCAAGTAAAATCTCGGCTAGGCTACACATTATCTACTCCACACAAGTTTGTGGAGTAGATATGTGTAGCTGAGCAGTGTGGAAGCCCACAGCCCATGCTGGAGTACCTAAATTCATGTTTGGGCTCCTGACTGCTGTGTCTTGCCTCCCTGTAGGAGACTGACATTTCACTCTTTGTTGAAAGACTTCCGGCTGGGCTCAGTCCCTGCTGACGGCGAGGTGAACATGTGGCTGGGAGCGCTTTGTCACTCTCTGCCTAAATTCAGAGGTGGGGAACATGTATACTGCCAGTGATTATTTTGATATTTAGAATTCATGGGACATAACAGAATTATCAACTTGAAAATTAGACCAGTAGAACCAGACCAAATGATTTTGAGGGTCTGTGTGGCCCATAGGTTAGAGGCTGCCCACCTCCCCAGACAAAAGGATGTAATTACATAACTCAAGGCATAGAAAAAGGAAATGAGCAGGGCCAGATGTATAGTTCCAGATAGGACTGTTCTGTCTCTGTCTAGATGGCTTAAATAAGTAAAGTGTAATTTTAGATGTAAACAGGAAATAATGAGATCCAGATGTTGAGTTTGGGATTATAGTTCAGGGAATTTTAAGGATACAAGAAAAGAAAATGACTATTAGTGTCATGTTTCAAATAGCAAATTCTATCAAAATATAAGTTCCTTAATGAGAAAATATTTAGTTTGTAAATTTAGAACAAGCTTCTAAACAAATAACATCAAACTATTTTGGACCAGGACTTTATGGTTCATTAAGTATTACGTGGCTGGAGTGGTAGTGTAGTGGCTTAACACTCATCTTGTATCCCCGGGATCCCGTATGGGTGCCAGTTTGTGCCCCAGCTATTCCACTTCCCATCCAGCTCCCTGCTTATTGCCTGGGAAAATAGTACAGGATAGCCCAAAGCCGTGGGACCCTGCACTGGGCTCCTAGCTTTGGATCAGCTCAGTCCCAGGTGTTGCAACCACTTGGGGAGTGAACCAGCAGGTGGAAGATCGTTGTTTCTCCTCCTCTCTGTAAATCTGCATTTCCAATAAAAATTAACAAATTTTTATTAAAGAAGCATTCTGACGGGTCAGAAGAAAATTTAACATAATCCAGAATAAATAAACTGAAGCAATTTTCTTTGCCTAAGCAGATATTAAGTGGATCTAATATCCTTTTTTTTTTCTAAAATTTTTTTTTAAAGATTTATCTTTATTATTTTTTTTATTGGAAAGGCAGATATACAGAGAGGAGAGACAGAGAGGAAGGTCTTCCGTCCGATGATTCACTCCCCAAGTGAGCGCAACGGTCGATGCTATGCCAATCCGAAGCCAGGAGCCTCTTCCGGGTCTCCCACGCAGGTCCAGGGTCCCAAAGCTTTGGGCCCTCCTCGACTGCTTTCCCGGGCCACAAGCAGGGAGCTGGAAGGGAAGAGGGGCTGCCGGGATAGAACTGGCGCCCATATGGGATCCCGGGCGTGCAAGGTGAGGACGTTAACCACTGCACCACTGCGCCGGGCCCGAATCTAATATCCTTTAAAGTAACATTAAAGTCTGAAATGACATGAATATTCACCACTTCTGCTCAATCAAATCATATGTAAAGGGTCTGTGATAGTTTCTGTAACAGCACAAGAAACTGACCTCTTAAAGCTCTCAACAAAATACAGTGACACCTAACTCACGTGATTAGCTCTTACATCCGAAGCACAGGAACTCCGTTTTTGGCTAATAAAGAAAATGTAGCAGCAAAATATTCTTTAGCCTTACTTTTTGTGTTTAATGAGACACAATCTCTAAACCAAACTTGATCTTCTCACCCTTAGAATGAAAAAAGACCTTCAGTAATACTTACTGGCTGCTTTACAAAGTGTTCCTTCCGCTGAAGAAACTGCACAATTTCCTTTTTTCCATTCACCTGTCTTGGTGTGTAGAAAACCACAGGTGTCAACCAGATCTTCATCATCATTTTGGTCTGTCCACTTATCAAATGTCATATTTGAATTGTCAAACCACTTGAAACTCGCATCTGTCAATTGAGGACTACTGTTAGCAGTGACGATTTTAAAAGGTAGCAAAGGAAAGGGCTGTAGGGATTAATTAGGGGTGCTACTAAAGTAAGTCTTATCTAAACCTTTGTAGAATTAAAATTAGCAGAAGGAATAAATATATATACATATACACACATATATATACACGCTTGAATGGAAATTATCTAAAAGGATTAGTTTCAGAGTTCTAGAAAAGATCTCGTTTAAAGAAAAAATGTTTTCCATGGAAAGAGTCAAGAAAAGTAATTAAAATGTTAATAGTTCAGTAATTTCATTCCATTTAAAAATTTATGTATGCATTTTCTAGTTTTATACTGATCATAAACAACATTTCCATAAATACAGCCCCAATAATTAAGTCTCATTAATTGATGTCATCATGCCCTGTTTTGCAAATATGCCCTATTACAAAAACTGAGCCTAGAACCATATTTTACTCCAGAAGAGCGGCTCACTTGGGGAACACTGCTATTTAAGGAAAAGCTGTGGAACAGTAGCTGAAAGTGCGGACCAGAGGTCATAGAAAACTGAACTTGAACTTGAACCACAGAATTTTTAAAATCTAAAAGCATGAGTGTTACTGACAGAAAGGAAATGGAAGGTCATGTCCCACAAGATAAGTATAACTTACCATCTGTGTCATAAAACATGCCTAGTAAGATATCCTCTGGGCCTTTCCATTGCTTTTTCAAAGAATCCAGTATGAAAGTATTTTCTTCTTCATTATGTATGCTTATCAGGTCTGCTCCTGAAAATATTTTAAGGAGAAAAAAAAAACCAGCATATTCCAAAATCAATGAAAATCATGGACTAGTCAAAAATTATGAATTATACCCTTAAAGAGAGACCTTCGAACATTTAACAAAGGAATAAAACTACAGTGGCAGAAGTTTCCCAGAAAAGCACCGTATTGTTCAAGTATAAAGTCATAAACTGAAGACACTTTTAAGACTCTATTATAAAAGGAAAACAAAAAATGATCATAGACTATTCAAAAGGCAGTTTATCCTCTCAAAAGAAATACAAGAAATGTGTGAAAAATTCAACCGGTCAGTGGATGGAAAACAAGCAGACTTTCAGACTTGCAGAGTATATAGTGGTGACCTTCAGTGTAGAAAAACAGATCTACTAAGTGGCTAACAGTAAATACCAGTACCATCTTTAAGATTTGGTAAGATGCAAAAACCCTACAAAAAGTATGTATTTTTTGACTCACCATTCCTTAATAGTTTATGCTAGGGTGGTTGCAGGCTCTGCTTAGACACAATTATTAATCCAGTGTTCACAAGTGCTACAAATTGTGTCTTCCAATCACAAACTGACACAACCATCACGTTGCTCGTGGCTCTGAAAGACTGGTACCCACAAGTGTGAGGTTCCAGTCTTTCAATGGACGTGTAGCTCTATAGCTGAATAATGTACAGTTGCTGGCAGAAACAGAGAGAAGTATATTCTAGTATATTGCAATCCAAGGATGGTCTCATAGCAAAAGGACAGATAAGCCCCTACAATGTTGGGAGACACCTCAATGACAGTATGATTCTGAGGGTGCTCGAAGACACTTATTGTAAGACTGGAGAGAACAATAGGCGGACGGTGGAGGGAAAACCCCAATGCCTATGAAATTGTGTCATAAAATAAAGAATAAAAAAATGTACAGTTGCTAGGAAATATGTATTCTGTATTTGCTGCCACACAGGAAAAAGGCGCATTACACAACAGTGATGTCTAGTTATGTCCCATTTTCATCTTTAAAGATTAAAATATGTTTATAAAAAATCTAGAAGCATAGTTATCAAAATGTTAATCATTGTCTTAGGCTGCTGAAATTTAAAGTGGTTTTGTATTTTGTACTTTTAAAAATATTTGCCTATGTATTACAAGTCCTGTAGTGATCATTTATTGTGTAGAAACAATTTATAAGGAAAGGAAAAATTAAATCTGACCTGTAAAATACTACTTCAATTAGTCTAAAGCCAGAATTCAACAAGGCTCTTTTTCCAAGTCAGTTCTGAATTAAAAATGATAGAATGGGGCTGCTGGCACTGTGGTATAGTAAGTTAAGCCACTGCCTTAGGCACCTGCATCCCATGTGGGCACTGGTTCAACTCCTCGCTGCTCCACTTCCAATTTGGCTTCCTGCTAAAGCACCTAGGAAAGCAGTAGAGGATGGCCCAATAATTGACCCCTACACTCATGGGGAAGACCTGGTGGAAGTTCTTGGCTCCTGGGTTCAGCCATTGTCATCATTCGAGGACGAGAACCAGTAGACAGAAAAATCTCTTCAACTTTTCTAACTGCCTTTCAAATAAATATCTTTTTAAAAATGCTAGGCGGGGTGCCCAGTGCAATAGCCTATGACTAAATCCCTGTCCTGAACGCATAGAGATCCTATATGGGCACTGGTTCATGTCCCGGATGCTCCACTTCTCTTCCAGCTCCCTGCTTGTGGCCTGGGAAAGCAGTGGCTCAGTTTGCTAATTATCTACCTACAAGTGCCAGCTTCCCAGATGGATGCCAGTTCATGTCCTGGCTGCTCCACTTCCCTTCCAGCTCCCTGCTTGTGGCCTGGGAAAGCAGTGCAGGATGGCCCAGGGCCTTGGGACCCTGCACCTGCATGGGAGACACAGAAGTTCCTGGCTCCTGGCTTCAGACCAACTCAGCTGCAGCCATCGTAGCTATCTGAAGAGTGAACCAGCAGATGGAAGATCTTTCTGTTTCTCCTCTCTCTAAGTCTGCCTTCCAGTAAAAGTAAACAAGTCTTTTTTTTTTTTTTTTAATTAGACTTCAGCATCTCAGATGAGGTGCGTTTGTATTGTTTTCTCTGACATTGTGGCAGCTGATGGAACTTCAATGCCTTTGACCATTGTTTTCTAATTAAACCGTAGACTCATTATGGCAGGCAAATACGACACACTTTTACTTTATTAAACAAACAGCACAAATCCCCAAAGACTGCAAGTGCTCAAACTATTTTCTTTAACAACACATTCCAAGTGACACTCTCTGCTAGGATGTGGATCATCTTTAGTTCTTTCTACGGCTAGTGATGGCTAATAAATCATGAAAAGTAAATATAGAAGATAAACTAAGCCCAGCGGCGTGGCCTAGTGGCTAAAGTCCTCGCCTTGAACGTGCCAGGATCCCATATGGGCACCGGTTCTAATCCCGGCAGCTCCACTTCCCATCCAGCTCCCTGCTTGTGGCCTGGAAAAGCTCAAAGCCTTGGGACTCTGCACCCGCGTGGGAGACCAGGAAGAAGTTCCTGGTTCCCGGCTTTGGATCAGCTCAGCATCGACCGTTGCACTCACTTGGGGAGTGAATCATCGGACGAAAGATCTTCCTCTCTGTCTCTCCTCCTCTCTGTATATCTGACTTTCCAATAAAAATAAATAAATCTTTAAAAAGAAATAGATTATGCATGAACTAAAGGTAAGTGTTACAAAGGAAGAAACAATTTAACGTAATTTCTTTCCACAATGAATAACATTAGAAAAGCAGTATATTAATGCCCTTCATTAGCACATCAGGTAAACAAGCACAAAATATTGGGAATATTTATAAACAGTTTACTGAAGCCTGAAAGTACTATATCCAATTAGTAGTGTTTTTTTTTTTTTAAGATTTATTTATCTTTATTGGAAAATCAGATATACAGAGAGGAGGCGAGACAGAGAGGAAGATCTTCTGCCCTGTGATTCACTCCCCAAGTGACCACAATAGCCAGAGCTGCACTGATGCGAAGCCAGGAGCCAGGAGCTTCCTCCAGGTCTCCCACATGGGTGGAGGTCACAAGGCTTTGGGCAATTCTTGGCTGCTTTTCCAGGTCACAAGCAGGGAGCTGGATGGGAAGCAGGACCACTGGAATTCGAACCAGTGCCCACATGGGATCTCTATCTGTGCCAACGCGAGGACTTAGCCACTAGGCCACCGTGCTGGGCCCCTTTTAAGATACCATTTTGGGGCACCATTGTGGCATAGCAGGTAAAGCACTGGCTTCTACACCACTAGCATCCCATATGGACTCTGGTTTTATTCTTCACTACTCCACCTCTTGATACAGCTCCAAGAATAGCCTGGGAGAAGCAGCAGTAAATGGTCCCAGTACTGGGGCCCCTGCCACCGACATGGGAGACCCACATGAGTCTCCTGGCTTCTCACTTCCACCTGACCCAGCCATGGCCAATGGAGCCACCCGGTAAGTGAACCAGTGTTTGCAAAATCTGCCTGTATCTCTGACAAAAAAAAAAATCAGAGGGTTTTTTTTTTTTTTTTGTAACTGTTTAGATTTTGTTCTAATATAAATATTCTGCTATTCCTCATGCTTCTTCATACATAGCGAACAAGCCATGTCAGCATAATCTAAAGAAAAATACTACACTACCCAAAATACACAATAATGATACTATTTTTAGCAAGTTTTTTGATTCACTAATGAAATCTAAGGCTCTAGTTGGAAGCAAGAGCATATTATTATCAAATAATTAAAAGGGTTATTTGAAATGCATTAGAACTTTAGAAAAATCAAGTCAGTAATAACAATTGATCAATTGTTTACCAGGGGAAAAGATATAATTTTCACAAGACACATTTGTATATAATTTAAACCTCTGAAACAGCCACTCTGCTTCAGTAAGTAGAACTAATGGACTTCAAGGAATCAAAAAATCCACCAAGGTATTGAGTGTTTTTAATTTAGTTTTGCTTTGTTTGAAGAAAATAATAGCTATAGCTAACTCTATTTTAATCAAAGAGAAATCAAGAAGTACTAATTACGCCTCAAGAAAGAGTTACTTAAGTGAGATAAGAATTCAAGCTGGCTAATGAATTTTGATGCTAAGATTCACGCATGCTACTACATAAAAGAACATGTTTTTGCTGGCTTTCTGTGTAATTTATGTTATTAAAATCCGTGGTTATATCTACGTTTGCCTAATATTCTTTTAAAAAAAATACTAACCCATTTTTTTAAATCTTGCAATTGACAAAGAGTCTTGTGCTATTTTATTCAGTTACCTTGAAGTAAAACCATATTGACATGCTGGACATTTTGTCTGTATTTTTAATCCCTACTTGGAATTAAGAAGTTTTCCAATGGAAGCAAAATGTATTCAGTACTATGTGATACTTTTAAAAATAAGATTAAGAACTCTGTATTTATTCCTTTACTAATAAATGGAAATAGAATTTGATAGTCCTCCAAAATGTTAAATTTGTGAAATCTGTTTGTAGGCAAAGGCATTCCTGAGTGCTAGAGTTGTGAATGTGTCTCAGAATAAATTTAATGAAAGGTCAAGAGATGTGGTCTCCTACGGTAATAAAAAGCACTTTGAAAACATGAAGAGTTTAGGTGGCCACTAGGCCTGGTGGTGACCCATGTCCCATGTAATGGCATGGCTGAATTTTCCTCCTGGCTCTCATCCTGCTCCCAGCTTCCTGCTGTGCAGACCCCCAGAGGCCGTGGTGCGGCTGCAGGGACTGTACCCCTGTCACTCCCACAGGGCCCTGCATTGCGTTCCCTCTGTCTGGCTTCAGACCCACTGGGGGGCTATCGTAGGAAACTAAAGGAAGGACTGGCATACAAGAGATATCCCTTTCTCGCTGTGTGTATCTCTATCTCTCAAACCAATAAAACTTCAAAAAACATAGGAAGAGTTAGAAAAAGAATCAAGAACTCTTATAACACCAACTCAGATATGCAACTGGAAAGAATGGTAGCTCATGGTAGCTCTAAATTGAGCTAACACGTTTTAACAATCAGGCTTAACAGTATGGTAACAATGCTCCAAAAGCCACATCTGGAAATTGCATTCAAGCACGTATTCTAGATTTGTTTTTTAAAGTATTTTTAAAATCGATTTGAAAGGCAGAGAAAGGAAAAAAAAAAAAAAACAACAACAAAACTTGCAGCTATTGGTTCACTTCTCAAACACAATAGCCAGGGCAGAGCGAGGACCACCGCTGGGAGGCAGGAACTCAGTGCAGCTTTGCCACACGGCTGGCAGGCCCGAGCCTCCCTGCTGCCACCCATGGGAGGCACTGCCTGCAGGCACCCAGGCTCCTGCTGAAGCCAGACACCCCAGTGTGGGACACTGGCATCTTGAACCTGGCAGAATGCCTTCTACAGACCCTTTAAAACTGACACTTTATTTAAGGTATCTCCCATTATGAATTTAGAAAGGTACTTCCCAGAAAAAAAAAAAAAAAAACACTGAGTTACACATTCTGTCAAATAGCCTTTTTATCCATCCTTTTAATTTTTTAAAATCAGTCATACCTCCTGCTTCTAAATATAATCTGATTTTGTCTACATTTTATGCCTGAAACAGCATTTTTAGGGCAGAATAATAGGGAGTATTAACTTCTTGCTTAAAATCCAGCAAAACTGAATCATGGCCCGTTCCACTATGACCAGTGTGAGTCTGAGCAACCAAATTCCCTCTCTTGATAAAAGAAAATGAAGGTCAATAAGCATAGACCTAAAAATAGACATGAATGTGCTTACCTGCGGTGCTTGGCTCAGGCCACCTATAGTAGCAGACACCGCTGTGACAGCTTCTGTGACCGCTTTGCACAGTAGCATTCAGTTGTCTTCCAACTCAAAAAATTTCCGTGCACCCAATCCTGCCTGCTTAGTAGCATAAAAGTTGTACTTTCGTTTTAAGGATCATGGGAAAACTTCCGTATACAGAAGTTAGGTGACACAGTTAACTAATTTGGGGAGTGAAAGAGTAAGTCCCTTACCATGGTCAGTACACTGGCTTCTGGCATCCTCTATGCTTTCTGCTGTGACGGCTTGAATAAAGATGTAACAGTGGTCTTGGAACTGAACCCAGGCGGAAGAAGGACAGTCTGCTTGGAGAGAGAAAAACAGTGTTACATAATTCCAGCCATGAATTCCTGCAGATAAGGATATTAGATACTGAATTGCATCGCACATAAAAAGGCAGAGTCTCTTCTTAAATCCATTATACCTGAGGGAAAGAGAGATGTGGAAATGATTCTTGTTCTGACCAGACAGAGCAAAGCCACCCACTCGACCATGTTACTTAGGAATTCAGCCACATAAATTGCAGCCTGATCAATGACGCAACAGACAAGGCAGGCACTCGGAGGGAAAGGCCTCTCTTTGAAGGTCATGTCTGCGGTATACCATTTTAAAACGATGGGAGTTTGAGGATGTCATTTGCTCAGAGGACACCTCCAAGAGCAGAGACAGGAGCTAGCTGCTGGGTTAGGAATGGCCAGGAAAACCTTGGACGTGGCACGGGCAGACAGGGCTGATGTTCACCTGAATGTCCTTAGCGCCTTGGCAAAGCCGACTTCATTCTGCTTCCCTCACTGCCCTCTCCTCCCCTGTGGCAGAGGGGCACTGGGGCCGTCTTCGGCTCATTAGGATGATGTGTACTTTGAAGCATATACTCTGGAATTTTATTTTGAAATATATATATATATATATATTTGGAAGAACCGTATAGAGAAAGGAGCAAGAGAGAGACACGATCTTCCAGCTGCTGGTTCACTTCCCAGATGTTCTAAACAGCCAGTGCTGAGCCAGGCCAAAGGCAGAAGTCGGGAGCTTCATGAGTCCTCCATATGGTGGGAGGGTCCCAGCCTCTCGGGCCATAAGCTGCTGTTCTATGCTAGCGCTGCAGGCAGGGACTCACGCACTACACCATCGTGTTGGCTTCAGTTCCCATACCTGCATGCTTAAGTTCTGTATATACTACAATTTTAATTTAAAAGTAGAAGAAATCACAATTAACAAAGAGCAGAATCTACCCATCAGCTACTATTTTAATCTAAACTTAGTTTTACTGAGCTCAGGGTCGTTACCTCTGGCACTTGACTTTAGCTTACAACGCACAGCACTTGGCCACCAAGCTAATTATTTCCCGGTCTTCTTGTAACCTTGGGATAATGAATGCGGTATGAGCAGAAGTGAGGTGTTCAGTAAAGAACCTAAGTGCTTTCTGCTTTTGTGATTTCTGCCTTACTTGCTTGGCTGGGGGCTGTGTGAACCCCAGGCCTGACAGTCTATGTGACACCCAGCAGGACGCGGAGGCAGAGCACTCCTCAGGAAGGAGGCCCCTGGTGTTAGATAAGACTCACTGCCTTACAGCCCATCAGTCGGTACTTTCTGAAAGTTGTTTGTTTCAAATCCACCAACAGAAGCCTGCCAACTTGTTCTTTTTAAAAGTGAACAGTTAAACTGACCAATCATGACTGTATAATTATACAGAATTGGCCTGAAATGTATAACAACCCTGTGCTGTTGAACCTCAGCCCTGATTTTCCCCTTCTTCCACCCCTTCTGCTGCGTCCCAGTCCTGCTGGGCTGGGCTGATGGCTGGGGGCCTGAACAAACCGCCCTGATGTGTTGGCATCGGCTTCAGACTCCCGATGACTTCCTGGGGATCACAAAATCTTGGCACAACATTCAGCATGCAGAGCCCGGTGCGGTGGCGCAAGTGGTTAAGGTCCTTGCCTTGCACACCCCGGGATCCCATATGGGCGCCAGTTCTAATCCCAGTGGCCCCGCTTCCCTTCCAGCTCCCTGCCTGTGGCCCGGGAAAGCAGTCGAGGACAGCCCAAAGCTTTGGGACCCTGCACCCGCGTGGGAGACCCAACAGAAGCTCCTGGCTTCGGATCGGCATAGCATCAACCGTTGCGCTCACTTGGGGAGTGAATCATCGGACGGAAGATCTTCCTCTCTGTCTCTCCTCTCTGTATATCCGCCTTTCCAATAAAAAAAATATAATAAAAATAAATCTTAAAAAAAAAATTCAGCATGCAGACCTCGCCTTTAAAAACAAGGCGTGGATTCCTCATACTATATTGCCCCTTTCCACTGGTGACACAGATAAGCACCCTGAATTGTGTGGCCCATGTAACACCTTAAAAGACCAGGACAAGATGAAAGAATCCTAAGTGGAGTTGTCATGTCAAGTCACAATGAGAAAATTAGACTAACACCGTTAAGCTATTGTTAATTCCGGTCATCATTATAGTAGCTGAACCAAGAATGTAATTAATACCATAACACTACTTCAAATGATCCCTGTGTGAAATGTGAGCTGTCATAGTCTCATGCTAGCACAGCAGCCTCATGCTACCACCAGGCTAAGGGCAGATGTCCCAAGACACAGCTTATTCCATTTACAGGTGTTTTTCCTTCCTGCAGTTTTATGAAAACATTTGTGTTATTACATAAGATTAGACTGGTTTACATTCTACAGAGATTAGAACTCTTCCAGTATGGTGGCATAAAGATTAGTCCAATAGAGACATTTTAGTAACAGTTTCTTTGAAAGAAATCTCACAATGAAATGATAAGTAAAAAATCTGGCTGTAAAATTGAATGTCCTAGGGTGGGGATTTCGCCTAGTGGGTAAGATGCCCATATCCATTTTGGAGTTCCTGTGTTCCATTCTCACACTTTCCAACTCTGGTTCCTGACACCAGCGTCTTGCTGATGTACCCTGGCCCAAGAACTCAGGGCTGGAAACAATGGTCTTACCCACTTTCCTGTAGTCTTTGACCCTTTGTGCCCTAATCAACTGTGTAAAGATTATCAAATTAGGGCCCAGAACCATGGCCTAGCGGCTAAAATCCTCATCTTGAACACCCCAGGATTCCATATGGGCGCCAGTTCTAATCCCGGCAGCTCCACTTCCCATCCAGCTCCCTGCTTGTGGCCTGGGAAAGCAGTCGAGGACGGCCCAAAGCCTTGGGACCCTGCACCCGCATGGGACACCCAGAAGAGGATCTGGCTCCCGGCTTCAGATCGGCACAGCACTGGCCATTGCGCTCACTTGGGGAGTAAACCATCAGACGGAAGATCTTCCTCTCTGTCTCTCCTCCTTTCTGTATATATGACTTTGTAACAAAAATAAATAAATCTTTAACAAAAAGATGATCAAGATGATAATTAATAAATAAATAAAAATAGTGCTCCATATATGGTTTCTCTCTTCCCACTAATTGGCATTTCGAAAATTGTGTCTGAATTTTACTGATTTTTTTGATCCCCAGTATCTCAGATAGCTGCTATATTACAGACTTAAAAACATTTTGCTAAACCTTTTCTTCATCTTTAATGACCTCAATTTATCATCTGTTGAGCATCTTAGTCTCTTTCTTTTAAATTTTCCTTTCCTTTTTGAGGCATGCTAAATTTCATAGTATATACAATATTCCGATTTAGCAACGTAACTGAATTCATTAGCAATGTCTTTACTGGGATATAGTGTAAGAATCAAACTTCATCTTTAAAGATATATTTTATTGGGGCCAGTGCTGTGGTGCTGTGGATTAAGCTGTTGCCTATACTGTCAGCATCCTTTATGAGTGCCAGTTTGAGTCTCTGCCTCACCAGTCCCAATTCAGCTCCCGGATAGTGGCCTAGGAAAACGGCAGGGAGAGGCCCACGTCCTCAGCACCCGGGAAAGAAACCCAGACGTTCTTGGCTCCTACTTTCAGCCTGGCCCAGCCCTGGCTTTAGCAGCAGGATGGAAAACCTGTTTCTCTTTCGCTCTAATTTTATCTTTAAAACAAATAACAAATCATATAGGTGCATATATAATCATATAAATATATATTTACTAATTTATTTGAAAGGCAGAGAGAGAAAAATCTTCCATCCTTTGGCTCACTCCCCAGATGGCTACAATGGCCACACTGGGACAGGTCAAAACCAGGAGCCCAGAATTCCATCCAGGTTTCCCACAGGTGGCCAAAAACTTGGTCCATCTTCTGTTTCTTTTTCAGGAGAATCTGCAGGGAGCAGAATCAAAAGCGGAGGAGCCGGTGCTCATATGTAATACTGGTGCTGCAGGCAGTGGCTTACCCCAGTAATCCACTGTGCCACATGCTGACCCTGCAGACTCTTGAAATTTACATATGTGCAATGCAAACGTCACAAACATGTAGTGTGGTGTAATTTTATAAAGTGAACATACAGTCATCAACAAAGGAAGAAAACAACACTGACCCCTTTTGGCCACCTCTCCCTTCCAAAGGTCTAGCCCTCTGGGGATCGTCCTGCCTGTTTTGATCTTCACAGTAATGGCATGATGCATCATGTGCCCTTTTTTCCATGGTGCGTTAGTGAGGACTTGTAGGTAGTTCTCATTGCTGTGTGGCACTGCATCCATTGTGCTGGTGAAGACTTGAGATAGTTTCTAGGTCATGACCACCACAAGTAACATTGCTGTGAACAGTGCCATGCAAGTATTCCCATCTAGAACTGGGTGACTCAATGCTGTGGCTTGAGTGTGTCGCCCCCACCCCCCCAAAAAAACCACCAAGGTTGAACAGAATTGCCGTTGGACTGCGTTAGGAGGTGGTGTGGGCCTGCACGAGGTGTTAGACTATGAGGCCCCCGCCCCAAGAATGGGAAAGCAGCACAAGATGCGAAAGGACTCGGGCCTCTGCTCCATGTGGGAGGCCCAGCTGGAGTTCCATGCTTCTGGCTTCAGCCTGGTCCAGCCCTGCCCGCTCAGGCCACCTGGGCAGTGAGCCAGAGATCGAAGAGTCCCGTGTCTTCCCTCTCTTTCTGTCATTCTGCTTTTCAAATAAGTAAATCTTTCTTAAAAATATAAACACGTGCGTTACATTTTGATGAATAAACAGAAGTTTTCCATGTAGCAGAAGAGAGCCTAGAAAGGAATGCCATAAAAAGCACAGTGTGTGAAGGTAAGTTGCTCCTGCTTTCTGCCTCCCCACCATGACCTGGCATACACGCCATGACCTGGCATACATGCCATGACCTGTCCGAAAAAAACAAGCATTCGCTCCCCCTCCTTCCCACACCCTGCACCCTGACAGGAGGAAAGGAACACAGGGCGGGGGGAGCAGGAGCGGCAAGCCAGCACTCAGACTCAGGGACTCTAACAGGAGGTGCAGCGCTGTCTGAACCCCTACGCCACATTCCCACCCTTCCGACTGTTCTGATTCGTTATGTTGCTCTTTATTCTGGAGCTTAATGAAATTTTAAAAATAAATGGAGGGGTCCAGCGTGATAGCATAGTGGTTAAAAGTCCTCGCCTTGAATGCCAGGATCTCATATGGGCGCTGGTTCTGATCCCGGCAGCCTTGCTTCCCTTCCAGCTCCCTGCCTGTGGCCCGGGAAAGCAGTTGAGGACGGCCCAAAGCCTTGGGACCCTGCACCCACGTGGGAGACCCAGAAGAGCTCCTGGCTCCTGGCTCCTGGCTTCGGATTGGCTCAGCTCCAGCTGTTGCAGTCACTTGGGGAGTGAATCATCGGGTAGAAGCTCTTCCTCTCTGTTTCTCCTCCTCTCTGTATATCTGCCTTTCCAGTAAAAATAAATAAATCTTTAAAAATAAATAAATAAATGGAAACAGTGTCCATCATTGTGTTCACTGACAGCAGAAACCCCTTTCTGAATCACTGGAGTCCCTGAACGTGTTGTGAAATGCTTTCTTGTACTACGTCTAGTCAGAGCTGCAAGACAGGGTTTCACTC